TTTTTTTCCTCTGTATATAAGAAATACCGAAACGTGTAGATGGTTCAGAAGTGGTTTTATGGGGGTGAGTTTGGCAGTTCCTCTCTCCAGGGATGTACATCTGTGTGGGGTGCATTCACAGTGCTTGTAGAAAGCTGCTGATGGATAAGCACAACACAAGTACCTGTAAATGGGGCAAAACTTAGGGGTGCTCTGCTGGCAGATGCCAGTGCTTTCACTGGCTGGGTTAGCTATGACTCTTACCTTCAGTTTGGTTCCTAATCTCTGCAGATTTGGGTGAGAAAATCTGGGTTGCTTCGTTGGGTTTGTTGGTTGTTTGCAACACAATTCCTAGTCTTCATAGCCACTGTCCTTTTGTTCTTGGTTACCATGTTAAAAACAAACCGTGCTAACTAACAACGAAACAATTGGTGGCAAATGTCAGATGAGGCATTTGATTATGCATGTGTGTATGCTTGTGTGTTTAAGTCCGGTGGAATATACAGAGAATACTGTGTAGTTCAGGTGCATCTCCTGCTGTTTTCCCAAGGTCCCGGCCAAATGTTAGTGTCTTGTTAAAACGGCAGGCAGTAGCTATGGTGTGAGCCTGGTGCTGTGGTGCTGGGGCTTTGTCATTTATTTGAAACGAGTGTTAGCTCTGAACAGCGTGAGTTGACTGGCCCTGTGTATAGGGTGGCATTTCACCATTCTCAGAGTTCTGTGTGAGCTTGTGAGAGAAAGCTTGTAAACATCCATAGCTTTGTTTTTGTGGCATTTAGAAGGTGGGAACTTGCATGTAAGTTTTGTCTAGACTGGGAGGTTTTCTTGGGACTTTGGAACTAATGCTGATGAAAGAAAATGGTAGTTAAATATTTGAAAAGATCACTGAACTTAGGGAAACAGCACTTTTGTTATGGACTCAGGTCACACTGAAATTAATGCCTCCTATTTATTTCTGTGAAAACCACAACAGATACAAAGAGCACGGCAACGCTTGATAGAACACAGTAGAACAAACTCTTAGCTATAAAACACTGTTTTTCAATGTAGTCACCATCATTAGTCAGTTTGCACAGATCAGCTGATTGAAATGCTCTTCATCTCATGGTGTAACAGCTGTGCATGGCAAATGAGATTTGTCTTTCACTTTGCCATTACCATTGCTGAAGCACACTGCTTACCACCTCACTGTGTTCAGATCTGCTGTGTGGTCCCCATAAATGTTCAGCAAGAGTCAATGAATGTCAGTGGATGCTTTTTTTTTCCAAATGGAGAAATTCAGAGACACACCTTTGCTTCCACGTCAGATACCATTTGGTCAGACTGTCCCTCTGCCGCCACTGTTGCACTACAACAAAATGGAACAGAATAGTGGTGGGGAGGTTCAGTCACTAGTGCCATGCAATCAGCATCTGCCTCTGATGTCATGGGCCAGCATAATAAAGTAGGAGGCATTACTTTCAGAGCAGCTCTTGTAACTTGAATTACTAGTGCTCTGACAGAGCTGTCTTTTACTTGTGGTTCCTTCTGTTCAGCTGAAGTTATTTGTGTTTCCTATAACTCTTGCCTGGTGGACAAGGTACAGCAAGATGTTGTGACAAAGGTCTTTGGGATGCCAGTGGAAGAGTTGGTTTATTATTAGCTTGGGAATGCATTCTGTAATGCAACTTGAACATCTCTTGCTGATATAAATAATGAAAAACTCAGATTAAAGCAGTGTAGTCAGCTTGTTGCATAACCATAGTTTTGATCTGATACCGAGGGCTGCATAATACAGTGGAACCGAATCCTGAATGTTTGAGTGCCTGTGTTTCTGCTCCTTTCCCTATGGATATAGTTCTGACATGACAAAGTTATGCCATTTGAGGTGTCATACCTGGGCGGGGGAACTTAGTGGGTATTTGTTGTTGTTGTTGGTTTTTCTGACTTGTGTGAGCAGCTTTCAGAGCTTATGTAAATCCTTGTTCATGTTCTCAGCTCTTTGCTGGTGTTGATAAAATATGCACCTCAAGCCACTGTCGATGCTTAGCTTGCCTATATGTCTCTTTTTGAAGGCAGTATATAGATTTACTGGCTCTTCCTTAGCAAAGTGTTGGTAGCTGACCAGATGAGTGTTTCTGGTTACTGTAATTCAAACAGATTTTCTGATTTCGTCCTTGGTAGTGATATGAATGAACTTATTTTATTTTGAGCTAATGAACTGGAACGGCCTTGTGATCAGACATGCAGTCTCAGGAACTGTAGTGTTTTAAGCTGCTGCTTCTGTTTTCAAGCGAATGTGGAATTCAACCTGTTCCTTTTGTTGACACGGATTTCTTTCTTCACGTTGGGCACCTTTCTAAATAAAATAACAAAAAGCATAGGAAAGAAAAAGGCTTGATACCCTAGGACGTGTTTTATGGTTAAAAATTGAATACAACTGAGGCTTGCAGATTGCAGTGGGTTCTTTGAAGGTGGGAGTGGCGTTGTACAGGTAATGGACCAAGTTAGAGATAGCTAATCCAGGAATGAGGTGTGCAAGCAGGTGTTTTCCTAGGCAGGTCAGTGACATTCTGGAAAATGATGCATCAGTGTGAGGGGTCAGTTTAGGACTCATAATGCTTATTAGCTTGTACTTGATGCTGGAGACATGGAATTATACTGATTCTATTTCCAGTGCAGATCTGCAGGCAGGATCCCTCCTTGAGATATCTCCTCAGAAAGGGAGATAAATGTGACAAGTGCTCTGGCCTTGCAGTCTGTGATGTGTTTTATTGTCTGCATAATCTCAGCCCCTTCTTATAATGACTTGTTGTTACAGAACTTCACCTATTTTTTTTAATTTATTTTTTTGGTTTTTTTTCCCCAGTTTGGGAAAAAATAGAAAAAAAAAATTAGAAAATGTTTTAAGTCCAAAATACAGGATGGAATTAGTTGGACCTGCAAAGTGACAATGAGAAGAATAACTACGGTGGCATTTCATAGTGGAGCAGAAATGCACTTCCAGGGGATTTTTTCTGAATAATACTGTTTTCATTTGGCTTTTGGTGGACATAGACATTAATATCTCTTCACCAAATTGTGATTTAACTGACAAGACTCAAGTAGTGATTTAGTATTAAGGGGCAGAGGGGAAGCAAAGTAATCAGTTACCCCAAATCCAAGTGCTACTTAGTGCATTCTTTTGCTAAAATCATTTTTCTCCCTTCTTTTTACTAACCCCCAAATTGAAATTGTAGTTGAAAATTCACAGAATTGAATTCTCAATATTTTACTTTCATTTCCTTTCATTTTACTTTAGTCTTATTACTTCATAGTGCTTCATAGTTACTTCGCAATTTTGCACCACCAGAAAATCCTGTAAGGTACCTTCTTGGCACAGAATTTTACTGTGTTTATTTCCAGGCTTTGTCTTCTCATGAGGTTTGAACTTTTAATGGTCTCTTGTAGCCATTTGATTCAATAACAGTTTTACCTGCTGAATGTGAAGCTTGTGATGCAGTATTCAGTGTGTTCTCCTACACGTTGGTTTGGAGTCTCCTGCACAATCTTGATTGGTTTGAGGAAAGTCTATTTTTAATAACGCAGGAAAAAAGTGTGTACACATGGGAAGTAACAAATACTGCCCATAACATAATAATGGTTTTATTCTGCATTAAGTATTTCTTCAGTTGAAGGGTTGTTATGTGATTTTAAGTTGATAATTAAAACTGCATTGATTATTCTTGAAATTAAATTTGACACAGTGGCGATTAGGCCTGACCACAATGATTGTGATTGGCTTTATTTTTATTTGCCTTAAACTTTGGGAAACTTCTACACGTTGATGCTATCTTTTGAACTGTGAAGTTTCTAGCTCCCCAGACAGTTCATTATTTTCACTACTCATTACATTTTACATTGTCTAGCGCATGGATTTTTTTTTTTTCTTGACTTAATTTCATTCTCCTCTGCAAGTGATGTGCCCAGGAAAAATAGATTTCTACCAGTCCTGAATCAAGATCATACTTGTAAATATTGTGAATTTGCTATTTTTTGTATTGTCCAATGAATTAAATTTTAGATGTTTGTTGTGGCAATAGACTTCACTAGTTGTTCTCATGCCCTGTGTCTCAGTTTCTTTCATTTGTTTTTTAATGAAGAATTGAATCAAAATTACTAGGAAATGAATGAACAATTTCATTAGATTGTATTTTTGTACAGCTGAAGTTTGCTTCTTAATTGTTAAGGTTCTTTCCCTCCTTCCCTGCCTGCATTCTGGTTTGTTTCTTTGCTAAGATTTTGTAGACAACTTCGATATTTTTTTTCCCTCTGTCTCATAGGCGTTTTTATCTGACTTATCTGATGTGGATGTGGCGTATTGCTACTTGTAGGTAATCAATTACCTTCAGTAGGTAAATAAATACGGAGTACGTTACTTCTGGAGAGGCAGGGGGAATGTACCTTTAAATTTTGGGAAAGGAAAGCTAAGGCTTATTGTTTTTTAGCTAGCAGCATTGCAACCTTTAGCATTCCAGTTGTTTTTTAACATTTTTATGGCAGTTGTAAAAGTGAAACAATTTATTTTTTTACAGTTCAGTGTTGTGTTTAGAAGCTTCTTGTGATGCTACAACGTGAATTTCATTATGCTAAATTCTGGTTGTGTAGGCAGCTGAATTTTTCTGTAATACTGCAGATACTAGATGCGTTGGCACACGAAACATAGCATCAAGTTTTCTTTAAAGGAGAATTACCATTTCTGAAAGGAGAATACCATTTCTGGTATGCAGTGAGGAAGCACGTTTGTCCTATGGGTGCATACAGTTGTATTTTGCAGTGCCTTACTGGGAGAAGCTGTATTTAAGAAAGCTTTAGTGTTTTCTAACAACCTGTTTAGATGTAGAATCTTGATTATTGCGTATTCCAAATAATTTTGGCAGGGCACTGCCTTTTCTGTTTTGTGGCTTTTTTTATTCTATAAACATGGTGAGAATGGTTGGTTTAAAAGAGAGTGAAACTGCACAACTTTTTACCTGAGTAAATATTTACTGTTTTTGAAACAGGCGGTCAGCAAAATCTCGAAGCAGAAGTCCATATTCATCAAGGCACTCAAGATCTCGTAGCAGACACAGGTTGTCCAGGTCGAGAAGTCGTCATTCAAGTATTTCTCCTAGCACATTAACTCTGAAGAGTAGCCTGGCTGCTGAGCTGAACAAAAACAAAAAAGCAAGAGCAGCTGAGGCAGCTAAAGCCAGTGCAAAAGCTTCCAACACTTCAACGCCGACGAAGGGAAACACTGACACTGCTGCAAGCGCACCTCAATTGAACAATGTAAAGGACCTGAAGAAAGTAAAAATTGAGCATACACCTTCTCCTACGAGCAGCGTAACTGTGAAGAATGACAAGGCAAAAGCAAAGGTCTCACTTCCAGAAACTAAAGGAGAAAATAATCTGATCGCAGACAAAAGTACTAAACAGAAAGCTACAGCGGTAAAAGAGGACAAAGCAACTGTTGTAAAACAGCAACCGGTCACTGTAAAAGAGAAAACCAAACCGAGCACACCGAGCGTAGTAACAAAGGAGAAGGAGAGAATTGTTGCACTACCAGCCTCCACACTGCCACCCTTGCCTTTGCCTCCCACGCTGCCTGAAGATAACGAAACTGATAGGTGAGTTGTGATGTAAATTTGCTTTTTGGGGATTGTCTCTTGGTTTTATTTATTTATTTCTGCTTTGGAAAACTAATGGTAACCAAGGCATGTCCAGCCTGTGGGCTGCACGCTACCTGGCACAGCTCACCATGCAGCTTACCCGCTGCTGCTGCACTCAGCCTGCCTAGGCCAGCTGTCACTCAGCACCAACAAAACATTGGTGTGCTCTTAACTCTATCTGGCCTGAAAGCAAGGCACAAGAAGGATGCAGTACAGGGTTAACTCAAGTTACAGCAAGTAGTTGTATGCAGTTTGATACACTGGCTAAACACTATTCTGTGAACAGCAGAATATATGCAGCTATCCTTTCTGTTATGATAAGGGAATTTGAAAATAAATTTCAAGGTTGCTTAAAAAAAAAGAAATGATCGTTTCTTTGGTACACTTGCATCTTCATTTGTGATCAGTATAAGTGTGTGACCTGCAGCTTTTCAGATGAAATGTGGGGAGTTGCACTCGGACATTAAACTGAAAACTTTCATCGTGTGTCTCTACTGAACTTTTATAAGCCCTGTTTTAGCAAGAGAGCAGTACCCCTCACTTCATGGTCATGCCTTGTTCATCTGATTGCTTTTCATTTGTGAACAACTGTTTTCAAGGGTAAAGCACAGGAATAATAAAACTTCATCAAAAATGTTTGATGAGCACCTTGAGAACTCACTGAGAGCTGCAGCCACTGCCACCAAACCAGACTGAGGCATTAATTTCACAGAAACGAGGCCCAATATCCCACTAGTTTATGATTTTGTTCCTTTCCTTTTTTTGTTTTAACAAAAGAAAAAATATATGTATACATGCTAACTATATTGTATAATTTATGGAGGCTGCTCCATAAGTAGTGCTTCCTAATTTACTATGTTGGCCCACAATGTCAGAGGCAGATGTTGGTATGACAGAGTAGGGATTGAAGCTTCCTGCCAATATTCCATTACATTTTGTTGCCCTGTGAGGAATGGCATTAGTGGGGCAGTCTGACCAAGTCTGGCATGAAGTTTGCCTGAAGCAGAGGCATTGTTGAATTCATCCACATGGGGGAAAAATGGCAACCACTTGCTTTCATCAACTCTTGCTGAACGTTTATGGAAACCTAACAGTGAATGTGAGCACGGTGAGGTGGTGGTGAGTGGTGCGTTTCAGCAGTGGCGACAGCAACAGTGGGTCACCTCCACTGGTGCAGGTGTTTGTAAGCTTGATATGCAGGCTTTTGTTCATCACTGATGAATATACATTGCTAATGGTGGTGAATATGTCAAACAGTAGTGTTTTGTAGCTGAGAATTTGTTCTATCATCTGCTGTATCTGTGCTTATTGTATCGATTGTAGTTTCCATGGAAATAAATAGGAGGCGTTACTTTCAGAGCAGCCTACATATATGTGGCCCAAGACAATTCCTCTTCACTCAGTGTGACCAAGGCAAGTCAAAAGGTTGAATGCCCTCTTTGCTAGATCAGGAGCACCCATGGGGTTAGTCTATTTGCTAGATCAGGCTGATGTAATTTGTTCTTGCTCCTTGGTTGCTTAAGGTGGTGATTATGAGTAAAGGGGAATGCAATGTTAAAAGTAATTTATCTGAGATGTATTGTAGAAGGAATCTTTCAATAAACTACACTAAAGAGATTACTTAAAATTGTAGATGGATAAGAACTTTGGGGATAATGCACATACGTAATTTTCAAGATCTCGAGTTCATTGCAAATGTAGGCATAGTTCTGGGGAAAAGATTAATTCAGTAACAGTATCTGAAAATCTTTCAGTAAGTTGGAATTTGACTTTAATTTTTATAGATCTCTTATTTTCAGTTAATTCATTTTGCAGATCACTATTATTTTAAGTATGTGTAACTGAGGTGTGATGTTCATAACTTTTAATCTGTGCTGACTTTTGAAGTGCTAGAGATTGGTCTGTAGCAAGGAAACTTGGGTCTGTACCCGAAGTGTAATCTGAATTTAGGCTGTGCTAAGTTTCTTTTTGGTCCAAACAGAATACTTGCTGTGATATGAATTGGAAAATGACGCTACTGAGCTGTCACTTATTATTTTTCTTTTGGTTTTGGTAGTGTGAGAAAAGTTGCTTTTGGTGTTACTCTTATTACTGGTCTTGTGCTATCCGAGAGATCAACTTCTCACAAGTAAAACCAAATTTCTTAGTACTGAATTAATAACTGATTTAGGTGTGATACATCTTTGTAAGAAATAAAAACTGTAAAAGAGAAATTCCAAACCTTTTAAACATTCATATATTTTGTATCTGTGAAAGTAATGTTTTCTCTTGCACTTGGAAAATTGCACTATTTAATTAGTGCAAGTTGTTACAACTAGTGGTGTAAATGTTTCTATTAGCGATTCAATGCAGTGTTACCTGTAAGAACACACAGGGCTTGGTGAGTCAGTATTACTTAATGAGATGGTAGATTTCTTTTTGAGCAGTAAAAGAGAATGTTCAGCACTCTAGCAAATGCCATTCCAGTTATCCAGAATCACACCTGTGTGGTGAATGTACAGTTGCATTTGACTTTGACAGAGCCATCCTCCATGGGTAAACAGGATTACTGACACCTATCTGAGGGATATCCACTGTTTTAACAGGCTTTGTTTGCAGGGTTAAATGTGATAAAATGATATGTGATTCTATCCTGAAGCTGTCTCATCACTTCTCATTATGAGTATTTTTTAATTTAATGTCTGTTTTAAGTATACCTAAACAGTTCTACTAGCACTGGGCTCATTTCCTTAAAAAAAACAAACAAACAAAAAATAACCAAACAACGAAACAAAAGACAAAAAAACCCCGACGTAATACTTGCAAACAAACTGCATCAGAAAGATTAGTGACAGGAAATAGAATGTCTTTTATGCTTCACTTTGTTTCACTTTTGGGATGTGACCGTAATCATTCTGATGTGAAGTCTGTAACAAGTCAGGTTAAACCATGAGTCATTAGAGGAAAATGATCTGTGTTTTTTGGGAGGAAGAAGGACCAAGGTTCAGATGTATTCAGTTACTGTAGGAAATTGTGCCAGCTCAGAAGGCTTGGTACTGCGCAGAACTTGCTTACTCCTAATGTAGTGTCAGTTGACGTTCAGTAGGAATCTGGTAAAATCACAAACAGGCACCCTAAAGAAATAGTGCTGCTGGGAAACTAATGACAAGGTTAGCTGAAAGAGAAGACTGTTCTGGTAGCCAGCAGTGTGTGATTTAGCAAACCTGAAAAGTGGCTGCTCTTGGCTGCCTCTATTTTCACGTACTGCTTTTGAAACTTGTTTCAGAACTTCTCATATATTGTACTTCCACTAATACTGAAAGTTTGAGGGCGAAATTGTGAGAGAAATGCAAATACTTGAACTTCAAAATTGAGGTCTTCATTATGATAACTACTTGCTGTGTTCATGCTAACATGAACAGAACGATGAGGGCAGTACATGCTTCCTCGAGGTGCCTCTTTGAATTGTGGCAGTGGCAGCTTCATAGGTGGTCTAAGATTCTTGAGGGTTCTGATTTTGTAGTGAAGGGACAGGCATAGTCAAAATGCTGGAATGCTTTATTAAATGTATAAAATTTGCTGATTGCAGTGAATTTATGAACGAACGTGTGCGTTCTCCATGATGGAAGATAGCAAGGTCTTTCCATTTATAGAAGTTCCTACTTTATCTGTGCAACTGGGTAGATAGAAAGTTGCAGGAAAAACACCTTTCCAGAAGAGTTTTTTTGAGAGGGATGTTGAGAATGGAACAGTGATGATTTTTGCAGATGTCGCTACCTTGGCAAATGTACACTGAGAGCATGACAAAAGATTTTCTTTATGCAATGATGGAAAAAACTTGATGAGAGAGTACTATCTGAGAGTCCTATCAGGAAGAAAGCCATGTCATTATTTAAGCAACAATCATGGGTTTACTTGTTATATTATATCTGCCAAAATGCAGCTGAAGGAAGAAGTTGGACAAAACAGAATCATGAGTTTTAAGAAAAAAAAATTATCTTGCAGGAAGCATTGCATGTTCAGAATTTACCCACTAGACTGTGAAGAGCATCTCTAGAATAAAAATACATTGCTGTGTATTCGGGGGGTTCTTCTCAAGACAGACTGTCACTGTCCCCTAAAAAAAAAAGTTAATCATTTAAAATAATAAATAAAAATGCCAGTTACCCATGGCAGAAGAAATCAATTTTCCACTTGATTTGTATTCTGATAACTAGAAACACATGGAAACTGGAGTGTGTCTGCAAATCTGTGAGTTTGGAATCTGCAAGTAGCGTGGTATGGACTGCCTTTCAGTGCTTTGCAGTAGCTGTAACCATGAAGTTAGTTTTCTCTGATGATCAAAACTGAAGTGAATTAGATTAGAATAATCTTTTATACGTGGTGTCAGTCAGACTAAGTGCTATACTTGTGATATCTGGCGGCACCTGATCTCTAAATAATACTAGTCTGGGCCCTAAGTGTTTGGGGCGGGATAGAAGGAGGGAAGAGGAGTAGTTGAGATGAATAGCAGAAGCCTAACCTGAAGCCCAGGTAGGTTTGTTCTGGCTGGTGAGGCTTGCTATAGAGTTATAGAATTCCTTAGGTTGGAAAAGACCTTAATGATCATCAAGTCCAACCACAGCCCATCTATACTGCTCTAACTCTAACAACCCTCTGCTAAATCATGTCCGTGAGCACTGCGTACAAACGGTTCTTAAACACATCCAGGGATGGTGACTCAACCACCTCTCTGGGGAGCCTATTCCAGTGCTTAACAGCCCTTTCTGTAAAGAAGTTTTTCCTGAGATCCAACCTAAACTGGTGCAACTTGAGGCCATTTCCCCTCATCCTGTCAACTGTCACCAGTGAGAAGAGACCAACCCCACTAAGCACCTTACAGATACTGGAAGAGAGCCCCCAGACTGAACAGCCCCAGTTCCTTCAGTCTCTCCTCATAGGCCGTATTCTCCAAGCCTTTCCCCAGCCTTGTTGCCCTTCTTTGCACCTGCTCCAGCACCTCCATGTCCTTATTGCATTGAAGTGCCCAAAACTGAGCACAGCACTCAAGGTGAGGCCTCACCAGTGCTGAGTGCAGGGCAGGATGACTTCCCTGGTCCTGCTCACCACAGCACTCCTGATCCAAGCCAGGATACCATTGGCCTTCTTGGCCACCTGGGCACACTGCTGGCTCATGTTCAGCCCACTGTCCATCACTACACCAAGGTCCCTTTCCATCAGGCAGCTTTCCAGCCACTCCTCCCCAAGCCTGCAGGGTTGCCTGGGGTTGTTGTGACCAAAATGCAGGACCTGACACTTGGCCCTATTGAAACCCATACAGTAACCTTGGCCCATCGATGCAGTCTGTCCAGGTCCCTCTGCAGTGCTTTTCTCCCCTCTGGCAGATCAGCTCTTCCTCCCAGCTTGGTGTTGTCTGCAAACTTACTGAGGGTGCACTCAATCCCTCATCAAGATGGTTAATAAAGATGTTAAATAGAAACAGCCCCAGTACCGAGCCCTGGGGGACACTGCTTGTGACTGATTGCCAACTGCATTTAACTCCACTGACCACAACTCCTTGGGCCCAGCCAGTGTTTCACCCAGCAAAGCGTCTGCCCATCCAAACCGTGGGCAGCCAGCTTCTCCATAAGGATGCTGTGGGGGGACAGTGTGAAAGGTTTTCATCAAAGTCCAGGTAGACCACATTGACAGCCTTGCCTTCATTCACTAAGCGGGTCACCTTGTCATAGGACGAAACGAGGTTGGTTAAACAGGATCTACCATTCATGAACCCATGCTGACTGGGCCTGTTCCCCTGGTTGACCTTTAATTGATCCATGATGGCTCCTGTTACAATTGGAAAGATAAACACAGCAGAAAGGCAATAGAGGAGTGCAACAGCAAAGGGGCTAGCATGGATGGAATGATCTTACAAAGGACGAGTGCTCACACACCTGTGAAGATCTAGGGGCACAGGAAAGACTCCATGAGTGAGGGAACTCCAATCAGAGATCTTTCCACAGGACAGTCAGCCCTTAAATGGGGTCTAAGAGAGGTGGAGCCAGGTTCCACCCCTTCTGGTTGCACAGCTGAATTGCCTTCACCTGTGTTCCCATGGCTGGCGGGAGTTCTTTCCTGAGGTGCTCATTCAGTGGTTTAGGCCATGACTCAACATTACCTACAGCTCCCGAGATTATCCATTCCATATCCTTCCTGGCACCAAGGTGAGACTGATAGGTCTGTAGCTAGCAGGATCATCTTTATGGCCCCTTGAAGATGGGCAATGTCATCCAGCATCAGCTTTCGTCAGAAATATGACATCTTACCATCTGATGTCGTTTTCTGCAGAATTTTGATCATCAGCTGTGCATTCGTCTGAGCTGTTTGCAACTCATTTGTAAAGCTTAAATTGAGTTTCTGTCAATTCTGGGAGCAATATTAGTGTATCAGCAGCTTAGAATGTACTAACAACAACAACAAAAAGAATTCCAGTAAGTTTTTTTTTTTGTTTTAATACCTGTGTTCAATGTCCGAGCAAAATTGTTTCTTTTTTAGTAGCTTGAGAGAGAATATTACAGTGAAGTCAGTTAAAGAAACAGAGAAGAAACTTCGCCATCTGCTTGCAGACTTGCCACTTCCACCTGAGTTGCCGGGAGGAGCTGAGTTAGGCAAAAGTCCTGAAGAAAAGAAACCAACAGTTCAGTTACACAGCAAGAGGAGACCAAAGTATGTTTATTACTTTTTTTTTTTTTTAATTTATTTTAAAGTCTGTCATGGGAGCAGAAGTGAGAATAGTTTCCTAAAAATGTATTCTGTTTGAAGTATTTCTGCTTTTTTGTAACAGCTTCCTTCATACTACATAGTCTTAAATCAGACTGCATCGTTTGTAGTAGTAGCTGCTGGTTAGTGGTAGTAAGGTTGTTATCTAATAATGTCTCATGAATATTTAGTGTTGAATTACTTTTATCCTTGTATATGTTAGCTGCATTTTTAAAAGAGCTGTATTCTTTAAAATCCTTGTTTTCTAGAATATGTGGACCACGACATGGTGAAACAAAAGAAAAAGAAATAGACTGGGGAAAACGCTGTGTGGATAAATTTGATATCATTGGTATTATTGGTGAAGGCACTTATGGACAAGTTTACAAAGCCAGGGATAAAGACACAGGTAGGTTAAAAAAAGTGAACTTACTCCTGCAATTCTGAAGTCAGTGGGTTTGGGTTTTGTTTGTTTTTATAATTGAATAAAATCTGTGTATTCTTTGTTTTTAATCTAGCTTTTGTCCATCTTTTGCTGCCTTAAAAATTATCTATTTGTAAAGCTGTAACTGAAAGTACATGCTGAGTAGTCTTAATCTCTATTTGAACTTGTATTTCTTAAACTTTGATGCTCAGTACACAGTTTGAGGTAGTGAAGAAAAAAGGCTAAGTACTCTGGGGAAACAAAATGGTACCACTGATAGAATGATAAAAAAATAATGAAGTTTGTAAAGAGGCTGCAAAGATGAATGAAGGTAGGTGTGAGATTTAGCCATTTTCCTTCTTTGTACTCTGATTGCCATTAGCTGCTAGTAGGAAGAAAACATATCTCAGTGCACTGCAGTCCTGAAGTGTTGCATATCAGGTATTTTTCTTACAGTATAGCTGGCTGCACAGCAGAGACATAACTTCTAGATCTCACCTTAACTATTGCTGAATTGAGCAAGCAATCACCATTATGGTATGCAGGAATGTTGTCACTGCTTCTAAATAGATAATAGTCAAATCTGTTTCCACAGCTGTGCTGTACCTTGCTTGATGGTTTTAAGTTCAGTCAGTAGTTCTTGTGACTCCTTGCCCTTCTGACTTATGTGCGTGCCTTCAGTACTGTCTAATTCCCTTCTTCAGCAGTAGCTGAAGCACGTACGATCACATAGCAGCCTTCTTTCTGATCTCCAGAAGAATGAACAGTATAATTGTTCTTTTTCCATTCTTGTCTGAATTTTCAAACCTTAGTTTTTCGAGTTGAACGGTCACAAATCAAATCTTCTTAAGTCCTACCTTTGGAGCCATTGCAAATCATTGCTAGCAGCTTCTTCCAGCCTTCCTGGTATTGTGGTCTTTGTACATTTAGCTTTCTTATTCAATTACTACCATATTGTCCTCTTTGGCAAGCTTCTGGTTGTTTGTCTGTGGCAGTCATTTTCTAACCTCTTGCAGAAGTTATTGCTCTCTATACTGGGTGGGCCTGTATGGTTAGAGCAGACCTTCCACCCTTCCAAACCTTCCAGCCTTGAATTCAAATTCTGTGTAAAGAGTGGCATTACAGCCTTCAAGCTGTCATATAATAGGCTCTGCAGTGGGTTTTTCAAGGCAAGATTGAAGAGAGTGCACAACTGCTCTTTCAGATACCAGTTCAAGCTGATGCCACATCTTTAAAGTGTGACTTTTGAGAGCAGAGGTGGTTTGAATTCATGTCCTTAGTGAATACTTCTGATGCTAACAGGAGAATTTACTTTTTTTATAATGGTGCCTGTCCTGCCTCTTTGTTGCAACAGCTACCAATAATTCAGTCAAAGCAGCAGTTTTTGCAGCAATTCAGTCAAAGCAGCAATTTTTTAACAACTAGTTTGCTCAAAATGAAGGACAGTTAATCAGTTTTCTCTTGTTTTTGCAGCTTTTGATGTTAGAGTGATCTCTAGTACCTGCACCACTGTCTTTTCTGGAGCTGATCTTATGGTGCATGGAAAACTGCATAATTATTCTTATATAAATTCAAAAGATAAAAAGATTTCATTAGATCCTGTGTTATTCCCATTTTCCTTACAGTTTTATATATCATCCCATCTTTTTGGCGTGATCTGAGAGGCAGTATCTTTTGAAGTTTAAGAACAGGTTGATATACTTAGGAAGACATAAGCTGCAACATTAGCATCTATCTCACTCCTATATCACAATCCTAGTTTTTGTCATACCTACTTTGAGTTGTGAGGTATCCTGTTATACTTTTCCTGTCTGAAGGATTGCTGTAAATCTAAGAGTATGCAAGTAACACTTGGGCCCCTTGAGGTCCAATGGTAACCTCTATTTTCCATCTCTGAGGGAAGGACTTGACTGTGCATCCTTATGGTCTGTGGGCCCTCTGCATTAAGGGACTGCCACAGTGTAAACTTGAATGTCCACTGTTTATCTCCACTTTAGAGATGTCACAAGTTATTATCCCTGATGACTCGTGTGCTGTTGCTTTGTTTCCAGCTGAATTTATCTTGAATCATAGTGGAACATGATATGTTGCATATGTTCAATACACAGAGGTGTGGAATAAGGTCTTATTAGATTTAACAGATTTGAGCTCAATAAATCTACTAAAAAAAAAAAAAAACCAAAATGATTGAGCTGATGCACATTCTTTAGATATGTGTCTTCCATTATGGCTACGTAATGCTCCTGCCGATTTGCAGAATCTAGCTTCATCCAGCTCAGCCTGCAATAAAGCAAATAAGGGAAATTTCTCTTCACTGTAAACACGACAGTGCCACTTCTGCGCATAGTAAGTGTACTGATAAATATTAGGTCTCTTCAGTTGTTTGCCTTGCATCTTGAACTATGTAGTATTTCTCTGTAGATACACGTGTGAGAATTCTAACTAAACTGTCATGTCTCACATTGCCTTCCTAAGGATTTTATTATAACACAGTAATAGCCTTTATTAGTAAAGATGTGATTTTTTCAGAACCACCATGATTGTGGTTTTGAAGCTTACTCAGTGAGAGTCGGTATACAGTATAAGATCTTCCCTTTGATGGAAAACATCTTCAGATACATTGAGTTTAGAGGAAAACTCTCTGGAAGGTCTTTTCCATGACTCGCGGAAAGAAACAAATGCTACCTACTTCAGAGTAGATGCTTCTATTGCTACTAAGTGTTTTAGTTCTTTTACTGGCCAGAGGAACTTCTGGTAAAGATACTGTACTCTCCTGGTGGCCAGCGTTCCTCAGTGCTGTGCCTCCTGCCATTTTAATTGAGCCTTCTGAAAATGCACCTCAGAGGCCTCTAACCCTGCACATCCATTCAGTCAGGATGTGCCTTCTGTGCCTCTTCCATCCAGATTAAGCTATTCTGCAAGTCACAGTATGTCCACAGTAATCTTTCTGACACTACTTTTTGCCTTTCTGAGTGTTGGTATCATCTGTGCCTTTCTTCTCAGCCTTGTGCTATATACAGATCAACTATTTTACTTGAATTTCTGCTCCTCTCATGAAGAACAAAGAGACCCTTTGTCCTCCCTTTTCTGGTAGCTGTCCCCTTACTGAACTTGCTAATGAGTGAGAAATGTTTCATATTCTGCCATCTTAAAGCCGAATAAGCTTTGCAGATCTTTATCAACAATAGTTCTTCAATAGGACCTAAACCAGTTCATATCATCTGGATGGGTAAATGATTTGAACTGATGGTTGCTTCTTCACTCCTTCGTTTTTGATGATGTTTTCTGGAGGTGGTAAGTGTAACAGCAGAGTTCCTTCAGAGCCTCTTCTGAATCAATAACTCAGTTTGCACTTGTCTTTGTCTTTGTCCCAGCAACTTTTTTCCTGAAACTTTGTTCTTGTACTTGCAGTATTTTGTATTTGTTCTTCAACATGCAAGGCACATTCTTGTTGTCAACAGGCTGAAAGTATTCAGGAAGGCTTACCTTATTTATTGGATTGATTGAAAAAGGGACTGTTTTGGAATCCAACTTCTACTTAATCTAGTTACAAGACAGCAAAGGAGGTTGTGACTTTGCATTGCTATTGGTGGCCTCCTTGTAGAACATCTCCATTCCCAAGGTACACACCAGTCTTTGTTTTCCTTTCTGATCAAACCCTTGGGAGAGCAGTTCCCTTTCTTGTATGTTCTCACCTGTGGTGGTATAAAAGCAATAAAACCATAGCAAACAAAGGTCTCTGTCTGTAAAGCTGCTGTTGATAACCACTCTTACATAGGGGTTTATTGGTAGACCTGGTGTGGAAGATCAGGACACGAGTGAGGTGTACATGTGGAAGATGGTTATTATAGAGGTTAGCTAAAAATTCTCATTTATAACTGTTTCTCTGTATCTTTGTTTCCCAGCACTAATTAATTTTGTTTCTGTTTGGCACAATGCATGAACCAAAATCTTAACTATTTCTGAGTGGAGATTATAAAACTAAACAGTAACAAATGGGATGGATTTTTAAAACAAAGCAATCTGAAGTCCCATAGTTTGGTTGCTAATCTTTTTCAATTTTCATTTTCTCCTAGGAGAATTGGTAGCACTAAAGAAAGTACGACTGGATAATGAAAAGGAAGGGTTTCCAATTACAGCTATTCGGGAGATTAAAATTCTTCGACAGCTGAATCACCAAAGCATTATCAACATGAAGGAAATAGTGACAGATAAGGAAGATGCTTTGGATTTCAAGAAGGACAAAGGTATGTGTGTGAACACTAGGGTGGCTCTTTCTGGTCATGTTCTTAATACAGTAGCCTACTTTCTCTGCAGCTGAAGTTTCATTTTTAAAAGTTTGAAACAGTGACACTTGGTACTTACTAACAGAAGTCCTTTACTTAGATCAGCTGTGCCTCTTGTTGATGGAAACATTTCTGTAAATATTTTGGGTGGCTTTTACAAAAACAAACTTGATTTTAGTTTGGCTGGAACAATTTCGAAGAATAGGTGTTTAATTTGACACTCATGGATTGGGGAGGCCAGTAACGAGGGGAAGTTCTTACATACTGGATGGGTTGCATGGTTTTGCTGCTTTTTTTTTTTTTGCCTTTTAATTTTCTCATAGTATTTTCTCATCATTTGGAATGTTGCAGGCCAAACACTGAAGAGGTTACTATTATTCTTTTTACTGCGTGTCAGTCTTGTTTGGATTGTGTTTGATTATTTTCTTTTTATAGTTGGGTACGTGTGTGTGTTGAAGGCTAGAAGGATAAATGTTGCTTTTTGCCAAATGCAAGGCCTACAGACATCTACTGTTTTGGTTCCTTCAGTGTTAAATCTGGTTTGTCTGAGATGCTGCAGCCTCTTTTTCTTGGAGAATCAAGGAAACAAAAGGAAAAGCATGCACTTTTGCTGTTTAGGACTTTTGGTACCAAATACTTGTTTGAAAATGTAGTCACTTTGTCTTTGGAGGCCATGTCCTCTCAGCTACAAGTCTTATAAACGTATCAGTTTGGAGTATTTTAGTGCCCTGTGGCACTAAAGGTAGGTAGATATATATGATCTGGTAGAGGAGGAAGTTTGAAGTCTGGAACCTGTACTTGTCTCCCTGTCCTCCTGAGTGTCTATACAGCATGTCTGGCACTAGTATGGAAAGGAAACAGTTAATGTCCTGCATAGCCAGCAGAACCAACATGTGATGTTGTGGTGACTCTGAAGATGAGTGTCAGAATTAGGCAGGAAAGAAGTTCTTTCTCTAATTTCTTCAGAAAGTGTAGTACCTCGAGGGGTGTATATATGGACAACATTTATTTGTTGTTTAAAAGCAGGAAATGTGTAGCAAAGCAGTTCCTCTAGATACATGTATGCAGTTTCAGTGGTCAGCATCCACTTTAAACTCTGATCTGCAACAGCCAGCTTAGGCTTTTCTTGTGAGTCTTGTATGAAGTTTTAATTAGGCCTAACCTTGGCTAATGAGACCATGTTGAGCCCTGAATAAGTTTATATTCATTAGTTAATTTTCTCCATTTCTACTTGGAGCCATGTGTAAGGTTGAATTGTAAATTTTTTGGTTTACTTCTCTATATTTTCAGAAGACTGCAAGGGAAGGACTTCTCTAGAGATACTAGAATAAAATAAATTTTTGAAATAGTCTCTTGGAAAGCATTAGCGTGATAATAAGTCTGCTATTATGGTTTGTTTCTGAAAGGATGGAATTTTATTTTTTCCAGGCTACTGCAATCTGCATCTAATGAGGAGATGGAGATTTGTAGCTGAGAAGTATTGGGCAAGTTGTAGTCTATGCAGAGAGCAAAAGCAAATGGGAAGTTCAGTGATTTTCATGGTAAACCATGGCAAATATTGACGTGGTAGTGGCATACATTATCGAAGCAAAAGTTACAGTTGAATCAAAGTGTTTGCCTTCTGATGAATATGCTTATGCTTAATGTATGTTATGATTGTCTTAACTTTGGAATATAGCTGTTAAAAATCCCTTACTGCTGAAATCTCATTTGTGAAATTAGGGAATGAGAAAATTCCTGCCAACATACGTTCCTTTAGTTGTACGTGTAAAAGTAATTTTTGTCTGAGACTGCCTATTATCTCCTGACCTGTTACTCATCTACTCATTCACTTTGGTTTTTAATTGGGATTTCAGAAGTTTAAAATGCATCAAATGGAGAGTCCTGGCAATTCAATAAATGTTCGTCACGTTTTATACAGTACTGACTTTAAGGATGTTTTTGAAGATAGTAACATTGGCCTGCAAACATCAGTGGCTTTACTTGTACCATGTTTTCCTGATGCTTTTGAACTGTTACGTGTTTTTAGTGGCCTAAGCTTACTGACTTAGGAGTAAAGTGTTGTTGAGTATATTAAACTACAGAGAGTGCAAGAAAAGTTTCTTACAGTGTTTTACCTCAGCCAGCTTGGGTTGTTATCTCAACAATAGCTTCTACAGAAGGAATTTGTTTTAATTCTGTCTAGACCAAACATTTGAAAAAGAAATGCAATACATCAAGTATCGAGTTGCAGATGTAAAGAGCATTTCCTTTGGTGGTAAAGCAGCATAACATCTTGATTCTGATGCATGAGTGATGTTGGGTTTGCAGAGAAGGAGTATCTGTTCTGTGCCTTTCTCTAGTAGCTCATCTGAATATAGGCTTTTTCTCTTCCTTCCAATCATTCAGAGCTTATACATAAAGTTAGGAATGGGGCACCTGACTCAGTTTGTGTGCTGTCTTCTGCATTTATCTGCGTAACAGTTTATTTTAATAGGTAAAAAACAACTGAACATACTGTTAAATCTTCCTTTGCTTCTCTGAAAACATAAAGCTTTATTTGGCTTGATCATACTGGTGAGCTATAGATGCCACTCAGTATTTTCCTAAAATATCAGAGCTGTGGTTATTTTTGAAGATGTTTTCTCCCAGTGAGCTAGTGCAGGAATTGCAGGTGTCAGCTTTTTGTGTTACCAGAAGCATTTTGATACTGTTTGTGCTTGTGACCAAGACTGCTGCTATTTGTGTTTTCCTTCACTCTTCCTTTTTTTTTGTCTGAGAAAATTTGTGGGTTTACCTATGCAGCTGTAATTGAAGGAAACGAGATGGGATTAAAACAAACCTAGAGTTATTTTTCAGATGTAGTAAAATCCATAGTTCTTTGCAAGATTAGTTGAGCCATTTTATCTAAGTTTGCAAGAAAAGTATTGGGAAGACCATCCCTCTTACTTTTATCTTTTATCATCTCTGGTTTGTTCTCTTTATTTTTCTTGGGACTCTCCCTTGTGCGCCCGAGATGGTCCTCTAGTTCTCCATCACCTATTTATTAACTGTGAGCTGTTTGTAAATGATCAACAATCTAATTATGGAACTGCCATGATTGCTTTTTGCTAAACTCTCTTAAGTGCCTGGTTTACCTTTTGTTGCACTGAATGTAAAGCTGCATGAGTATGGACTGGCTCCTCTTCCTTTCAACTGGAAGAGGCAATTGATATCCCAAGAGGTATCCCAAGGGATAATGTGGATGTTTGCTTGGGAGACTCTAATAAAAAAGAGGTATAATTAAAACAGGAACTTATTTGGTCTTGGTGTGTGTGAATTTCTTGTTTAGGTTTGTATGCTTGTTTCTGTAACTCATTCTAAAATCTAAGGTTACTTTAGGAAGGTTCAATTTTGAATTCAGTTGCTGTACAAGAGTTAATGGATTTTTTTATGCAGGAAGCCAGTATCTACCACAGTACTGTAATATACTTGTGAAGAGGACTCTGAGTCTGTGGAATGTTTTTGTATAACCTAGCTAGCTATTTTCCTGTATCCATCATGGAGTACTTTGTCTGAAAGCTTGTTTTTTGGAAGGAGTCCTTACCAGCAATCATGCAGTCATCAGAGAGTACTTCACTACAGGATTCTGTTCCTATGGTAGGTAGTTTTATCTGGATTTCCCGGGAACTCCAGTCAGAAATGGAAAATTCAGTAAATACTGGCTGCTTTGAGCCATTCAGAAAAAACAAGCATTAGCATTTTGATTTTGTTTTGACCTTACAGTTGGAATAAATTACTGAAGAGGTGCTGCCTAAATATGCATCTAAGCAGATAATCAAGTATTTTTCCTTTTATTTTCTTGCTGGTAAGTGACATTAGGTGAATGCTGGCCCAGCCATGGGGATCTCTCTTTTAGAAATATAAGGAGAGATGTCTCTAGAAGAAGGAATGTTTCTTCCTGTAGCCCTTTGATCAGGATGTCTCTTCTTCATTGACTAATGAGTCGTGCTCAGCTTGCAAGCATCTATGATGGAATCAGGAGTTCACATCTTCTCTGTCAAGTTTAAGGATTTGTCACTGTATTCATGCATGTTTGCAGGTATAAAAGGGTCTTTAGACGTTATGCTAGTTACTCTATTTCCATGTTGTTTTCCTCTCCTGCTTAAGCAATCTCAACTTCCAGTTATCCCTCCTGCCTCCTCTCTGATCCTCTTGCTGCAAAGCAGCTTGTTAGAGCTTAGGCTGTTAAATTCAATGCTTACAAAACAAAAGTCTCTGAATTTCCGAAGCCTCCAGATTGTCTTGCTGCTCCTGAAGTAGCTGATAGAAACTTGTTACCCAAACAGGCTGCCCAGAGAGGTTGTGGAGTCTCCTTTGGTGATATTCAGGACCCACTAGGTCACTTGCACTTTTCTGTGCAACCATCTGTAGAGAACCTGCTTTAGCAGGGCCTTGGACTTGATGATCACCAGAGGTCTCTTCAAGCACAGACCCTGTGATTCTGTATAACAGTCTTTATGCTACAGCTAAGTTATCAGGATTAGTGAATGTCTGTGAGTGGTTCTTTCCATTTCTGCACGTGTTACTGAAGGCTGGTTTGGAACGAGTATAGGAAAGTTATGGTTCTATTAGGCTAAGTTTGTCTTAAGCAGAAAAAATTGTTCTGTCTTGTGATACCTGAGTGGAAAGACAAGTATGGCAGTGATGCCTTATTTAGTCTTAAGATGATTAATTCATAGGCTATGTCTTTGGTGTTTCTCAAATTAGAAAATAGGTTTGTGTGACTTAAGTAGAAAGAAAAGATGAGCGTCTGTCTTCTTAAAAGCACTGTAACTTCAAGGAATTGGAAAATGTCATCTTAAATTTTGAAGCTCTGCTTGACAAGACTGTGTTTAGAACTGTCTTGGAATCTGGTGTATCATGAGTCCTGGAGGAGAAATGTTAAGGAAATGGAAGATTAAGTATAATCCAATTATCTCTAATCAATCAAGCAAAAATATTATCTATATACAACATAGAAGGAGCTGAGGGAGATTTATTAGTGAAATGAGAGTGTGCTCAGCAGCTCAGCGCTCTGTATGCCATTCATAGAATGAGACAAGGTTCCTTTTTTAGAGCATTTTTATTTATAGGATACTGTTGTAATGCATATATATACAAGGATTGAATTAAATTTTTTACATAATATGGCATCCCTAGATCCTCAGTGGCCGGATTGTCTGAACTGTAGCAATCAGATAATTTTAGGAACCCCAAAAACTTTTCTCATGAAACTACATTTGGAAAAATTGTCTTAAAAGCTGCCATTAGGTTAAGTTTTTGGATTATTTCCCTTCCCCCTCTGCCCAAAGAACTTGTATCTTAGTTTAGGAACAAAGGCATAACTTTATGTCTTGCCATACTGAGTCTGTGCTGACGACTGTCCAAAAACCAGACTGCTCATGTCACACAAATTGTTTTGTCACCTGAAAATCGTGTATTGTAGAGTTAGTAATTCTATCTACATAGCACAGTCACGTTATAGTCAAGCTTATTTAGTGTTTTCATCGAGGAAACTTGAATGCTGTTAGAGCTGCACAAAATGCATGTAGAGGAGATGTGTTAATCCTTCAGTTATTCTAAACCAGTACCTTACTTTCTGACCCTTTTCAATCTTCACTGACATAATGATTTAACAGATGAGTTTTCCTAAGCACAGAGCAAAGAAGTAAGGCTAGAACTGCTTCCCCACAAGTCTACTTTGTTTGTCATGTACCTCCCTAACAGATTCAGCTGCTGTTATCCCATATTCAGAACTAGGCTACCTTTCAGCTGTTCCCACTGTTGTTCTGCATGTGTGCACTGACAATAAGGAATCTTACAGTCTCAGAAGATGAAGAAATGAGGGATCAGCTGTATGCATTAGCAATGAAAAACAGGAGAAAATGCAACCCCCATCAGTGCTTTTTTGCAGCATGTGGAAATTGACTATAGGCTTCCTCCTGCCCCATAGGTACTTATCAGGGAGTGCAGGCCTTTAATAGAACAGCAGTAAGAAGAGCAGCATTAAAATCAGATAAGTAATTCTGGGTTCATTTGAATTGAATATACTGTACTGAAACAGAGCTGTAAGTGATTTTAGGATATTGCTTAGAGATATGTGGATATTGGGCAAAGCTAGCACAAAACAAAAGTGTGTCATTTTGGGATGTAACTTCCCATTATTAACTTCCCATTAACTCATGGCATCATAAAGGAAATGGTGATTCTTTTGTACGTAATGTTTTCCTTTTTGAGAAATGAATACTTGTGATATTTGTATAGCGTAAACTAAAGGGTGCCATAAAATCAGACAATGGTGTAATGAACAAACTTTTATCTATACACAGTTTACTTCTTGAATACCTACAGCTTATTTTCTTATTACAAAAAACTAAGTGTCAGACCTCCTGATCTAAAACCCATGGAAATTTGAAATGATCAAGTGCAATAAAGCAATTTTGTTTTTGTTGACTGAAATTACAGACATCAGAAAGTGGCACCACAGTTCTCTCAAATTAAACTAGCAGAAGTTTCACTTCAGTTTGCCTAGCAACTGTTTTGCAGCTATGATATAATAATACTGAAAATCAGGTTTGTAATATACTGCCAAAGCTAGTAGACTGATTTTAATAGTTTCTCATAACCTGTGAAGAAGGTTGAACTCTGACAGATCATAGAATGGCTTAGGTAGGAGGGGACCTTTAAAGATCATCTGGTTCCAACCCCCCTGCCACAAGCAGAGTTGCCAACCACTAGATCAGGCTGCCAGGATCCCATCCATCTGAGCCTTGAATGCCTCCGGAGATGAGCATCCACAACCTCTTTGGGCAACTGTCTCACCATCCTCTAAATAAAAAATGTCTTCCTAACATTTAATCTAAATCTACCCTCTTTACGTTTAAAGCCATTCCTCCTTGTTCTGTCACTATCAGACCATGTGAAAACTTGTTTTCCTTCCTGCTTGCAAGGCTCCCTTCAATCCTGGAAGACCGCAATGAGGTGTCCCTGGAGTCTTCTCCAGGCTGAACAAGCCCAGCTCCCTCAACCTTTTCTTTGTAGCAGGGGTGCTCTAGCCCTTTGATCATCATCAGGCCCTCTCTGGACCTGCTCCAACAGATCTGCATCCTTTCTGTACTGGGGGCTCCACTCTTGGACACGATACTTCAGATGGTTCCCCATAAGATGCAATAGGTTAGGGGCATCTTACTAGCACCTTGTCCCTTGAACTTAGTTATTCTATCCCACACCTTGCCATGGGTAGGCTTGCTATCACACCTTTCCCCCTTCAAACCAAGTTTAACAACCTTCAGTGAATCCAGCATGAATTCTTTCCCCAGTGACTTAGGTGGTTGATGCCATCAGCAGCCATCAAGCTAGGTGCCAAGGAAACTGCTCCATGGTTAAAATAATAATAATAATAAATTCCTGCACCAGCCTCTTAGCCATGTATTTTTTTTCAGATGGATTTTCCTGCTCCTCTCAGTATCCCTGCCACTGAAGGGATAGAGGAAAACACCACAATGTACTCCTGCTCCATCCACCAACTGTCACAGTTCACTGAAGTCCCTTTTGATGATAGCCCTCAGGCTTTTCTCAGTGACTTCACTTACTGTCAGTAAGGGAGAACAATCAGAAGGGTGAACTGGACTAAGGTGCCTCCTAGTAATGTCTCTGACCTGGGCCTTAGGGAGGCAGCACACTGCAGGTAGGAATACAAATGGGATACCCTACCATATGGTAGGTATATGGAATACAGTAAGTCAGGTCTGGCTGATGTATGTATGGAGACCTCAGAAGGGAATTGTACTTAATTCTTTCTTGGTTGAGGCAGTCTTGAGGCGTGGAGTTGACCTCCTTGCCCTAGGCAGCCTCTTGGGTGAACTTTCCACCACATTCTCACTTACTGTCCCTTGAGTTCCAGAACCTCAAACCTATTGCATAAGGGCATCTGAGAAGGTGAGGGGGAGTGTTTTCCTGTGATGCCAAGCAGGGGCCTGCTTCCATTCCTTCCCATCTCATAGGTCCTTTGCCTTGATGGTGACAGGGCAGGGGCTCTGCCACTTTTTGGGGTGCATCACAGTGCCTTTCTTGTAGATATGGCAGGGAGTTGCTCTATCAGTCTTGTCTCCTGCGCACATTCCCTGTTGCTCCTTAATCTCTCTACCTCGTCCTTGAGCTCTGCCACCAGGCTGAGCAGATCTTCCACCTTCTCACACCTCATGCAGGTGGTATCTCTACCATCCTGCCGGGGTAGCAACAGGCTCAGGCACTTGCTGCAGCCAGAGACCTGAACCTCGGCATTTCTGAGCGGGCACTCGGTCTGGGTAGGCTATTGGTATTCAGTTTTGTTGAGCTGACATCTGAAAGAGACATGTAGATTATTCTGGCACTGCTGCATTAGTATCACATGTCAGCCAAGCAGAACTAACACCAGTTGCTAGCTGTCCAGTTTTCAAAGGCCAAGATTAGGAGCCTCTGTGCTTTGCTATGTAGAACTGGTGAGCTGCACTGGTGAATGGTTTAGGTAGATACTAACTCAGCAGGCTTCTGTTGTTGTATGGCTCTCAATGCTTTTCTTTCCTTTGTTTTATTGAAGTGGTGGACTGTGTTGCATCTGAGTGATTTATCTTCCGCTCCACCTCCTCTGTGCACCCAGATGGGTATTTTATGAATGGTATCTTATTTCCTCCATCCTACTGTCCATAGCAGGACAAGAAGAGATGGATTAAAAGCCATGAACCTCAGTCTCTTGGGCAGTGGTCCATAGTTTAGCTGCTTTTCACTGATCTTTGTCTCAAGTTTTGCACTTAATGTGTAATTTTTACCTGTTTGTTTAAATACTAAATACTAGACACAATTTAAACTTGACAGCACTTTTCCCTTTCATTTTCAGCCACTGTGCAAGAAAGCACATCAGTTTGCCAAAATCTGGCTGTGAATGTATATCTTAGCAAGCTGAATTCCCCTTGCTGCTACAGGACATTAACTAGCTTCTGAATTGGAAGTTCTCATTTGGAAGCTAGAACCGTAGTGAATTCTTGTTGGGCAGAAGTTTCTTCCGCTGTAAAGTGGTAGCTTTGAAATCTCTTGGGGAGATATTTGAAAGTGGAAGATAGACAGATCCCACTAATGTAGGTTCTGCATTGCACCCAGTGCTCTGCAGGGTCTGCATTGTCTCTGCCCTAGAGTTAGTGCTAAACATAACATTGTGCTGGAGGTTGTCTGTTGCTGCATCAGGTGTATGTAACATTTCCTCTTTAGGAATACTTGTGTTTATGAAAGGCCTGTGGCTTTAATGGGTTTATCTGTGAAATAAGATGAGCTAAGGTGAGGTATGGCCAGGTACTGAGAGAGTGGTGAGGTGCTGGAACAGGTTGCCCAGGGAGGATGCTCCATCCCTGAAGGTGTTTAAGGCCAGGTCAGATGGGGCCCTGGGCAGTCTGATCTGGCACTTGATTTAGTGGCTGGCATCTCTGCCTTGTGGCATGTTTTTGATGAGTAGCCATAGGAAGAACTTGTGTTTATGTAAGATAAAGCACTGCATTGTAGAATTATTTGTTTTCGCAAGCGTTTAATGACTGGAATAATTATTTCCATGGAAAAGCAATATTATGAAAACACTTCATTACATTATTTTATTGCCATTGTAGGAAATGAGGTATAACGTATAGTTATACGTTATACCTCATAAACGTTGCAAAAACACATAAATAGTTGTGTGGAAAACAATTCCCACTTTCGAAAGTAGGGAGCAACAGTGTTTTTGGACTGCTGATAAACCAGCCTCTCTTCTGTTTCCTGTTTCTCCTTTCTAGGTGCATTCTATCTGGTATTTGAATATATGGACCATGATTTGATGGGACTGCTGGAATCTGGTTTGGTTCATTTTAACGAAAATCATATAAAATCATTTATGAGACAGCTGATGGAGGGTTTGGCCTACTGCCACAAGAAGAACTTTTTGCACAGAGATATAAAATGTTCAAATATTCTACTAAATAACAGGTATGAATAACACTTCTAGTATGTAAATGTTGTACGTTGGGATCATATTTAAATCTTTTTTATAATCTTTACAGTTCACCTGCTTTAATCCATGAGCCAAAGTTTTTTTTATAGATTGCCTAGCTGATTTAGAAATTAACTGGTAATAATCTGGTAACATTTCTGCTTGATACTGGATCTGGCAGTTTTCTTTTAAACTTGCATGTTAAAATAGCAAGGTTAAAACTTGTGTCTATTAAGTGAGAGGATGGGGAAGTTACCTGAGTTGAATTAAAACAGAGATTTTAGGAAATCTGTTTGTGTATTCTTTTTATCATCATTTCAAAATGAAGTGTGGATAGGCTGCTTCTTTGTGCCAGAATTCAGAAGCCTTCACTCTTATTAATCAGGATAATGCTTTACAACAATATTTGATTAGGTATTTTCAATCATGTTTTGGCTTGCAATTACAGCCACGATCAAAGGGAGAGAAGAATTTATAATCATAAGTAGTTTAAAAAAACCCCATATTTGTAAACATGCTGTTGCTGAATGTTATGTTGTCACATATCTGTTGTCACATATCTGCAAGTCTTGCTGTAATTTGAAATAGACAAAACTTTCATTTATTTGAAAGTCGCTCATAATTACAGGGAAACCAAATCAAAGCAAAGAATCCATGTAACATTGCCAAGTGTTTTCCATGTATGCACATTGCTTTATGTTTAAATCATCTCAGCTTTGTGGATGTAGGGGTTTCTCATTGAGTAGTGAAAGTGTTTGTGGTAAAAGCAAATGAAGAAAGCCGGGCAAAGCTCTGTATCATCCATATTTCTTCTCATGTATGGGAAAACTCAAGGGCTTAGGGCTTGTATAATTCAGCAAATTGGCTGCTGGCAAAAATAGAAGCCCTTATCTGGTTGGTTATCCTGTTTTGAAGGCCATATTTAAGCTTCAGAAGAACAAAAGAGTGCTTAGACTTGCTAGAAGGAAGTAGGGTTGCTGCTAGGTTTTTGTTGTTGTTGTTTTAGCTGTACAAATCCTTATGCTAGCAGTACTTCAACTATCAAAGCATCAAAAAATAAAGAAGTTTCCTCCATCAGTTTTTTTTTCCTGCAGTGTTGTTGGTTTGAATGTTTTAACAGTATGCACCCTAAATCTTGAGTAGCATTCACTGGTGTAAATTCCGCTTCGTCACTGTATGTAATTTTGCTTGCTTTCCTTTGGCAGTGAGTAGGTTAGTGTATTTATTAATTGAAGAGAGACGTGATTTGTAAGGTGTTTCCTGAAGCTCAGTTGCAGTTGTCTGAAAACCTGAAACTTGAACTAGTTTTAGCAGGGTTAACTCCTAAATAATTCTTTCCTTTTCCCACCAGAGGGCAGATAAAGCTTGCAGATTTTGGGCTTGCTCGGCTGTACAACTCGGAAGAAAGGTAAGATATGATTGTACTGTGAAAAAGCATTGACAGGTATGTCTTCTTTCATAACTCTTGAGTGTTGTGAGGGCTGGAAAAAAAACTATTTATTTGTCTGGAGATGTTATTGTACTGTAAGATAAGTAGCATTGCTTAGGAAATTGCAAGAAGTGCGTGTTATCTCACACAGCATACAAACACAAAGCTCCCTTTGTACAAGTGATTGCCCTTATGACTATTGAGGGTAAATAACTGTAGAGAGGAGCTGTATATTGTTTGGGAATTAAGAGTTGCAGTTTTAAATAGGTTACATCCTGCAGACATTTACTAAATGTTAGTTTATGGTCTTGTAAACTTATGTTCTTTCTGTTGATGTACCTAGGAGAGGTTTATTTAGGAACAGTGACATTTATTCTGACATAAATCCAATCCATTTACTGTCTTTTTTTTTTTTCTTTTTTTTTAAGCATTACTTTTGTGTAAGATTTAATCTTAAATTTGAGGAGGTTTATTGTATTCTTTAGGCAGTCAGTCCTGTTACATCTGTTGGAAACAGAGATACAAGTTTAAATAAAAGCTCTTCTGAAACCTCTTGTGACTTGTGCTTCTGTTGTTGATGGCTCTGTTACAATTGTACTCCAGGAAACAGGTGCACAGCCTTTATGATTAAGAATTTTAATATATATATTGTGGTGTTATGTATTTGTTACTTGGACTGAGATTTTCAAAGACAAGGTTGAATGTTAATTACATCGATATGTACGACGGATGGCTGGATATTGAGAATGTTAGGTACTTAAGCTTACTTTGAGTTCTGTGTGCCCAACTTGGGAAACTGTGTCTGCATAATAAGTTTTGAGTTTATTTTCTCACAGACCTCTGACGTTCTTCAGTGCAACAGTGTTATTTTCACTGTCTTCTGAGCTGTTATTTCAGGAAAGTATGCTCAAGTAACAATTAGGGAAACTGTTTGGAGTACAGTATTGGGGTAAGATCATTTGTAGCAGCTGGCAGGCAGTTAGCAGTAGAACTGGAGGGAATGGTCTCAAGTTATGCCAAGGGAAGTTCAGGTTGGATGTTAGGAAATTTTTTTCCTCTGGAAGAGTGATCAGAAGCTGGCATGGACTGCCAAGGGAGGTGGTTGACTTTCCGTTCCTAGAGGTGTTCAAGAAGCGTTCAGATGTTGTCCCAAGGGACACGGTGTAGTGGGAAATATTGGTGGTTGGTGGACAGCTGGACTGGATGATCTCGGAGGTCTTTTCCAACCTTGTTGATTCTGTGGTTCTAATTCACTTTCATTTTGGATGTACTTATAACTAAAGAGATGATGCCATCCTACCTAGCTACTTTAATCTTCCCCAGGCTGACTTCTTGTTGGTTTACTGTCATTATCTTTAATATCTTTTTAAATTTAGATGTTGGTTATAGAACTAAATGTTAAGAATTGAAAGAGTGGAAGTTCAACATCCTTATAATGCAAATAAGGTTTTACTGAATGTGAAAACAACATCACCTCATTATAGATAAATTAAACAAGACTAAAATGTACTTACTGTTGCTAATAAAATTGCTAATTGAGCTTGGGAAGATTATTAGAATCTCATGAGTATATTTTTTGCAATTCTTTTGGCATTCATTTTCCTTCTGAATAGCTTCTGACCTGCAGTAACGTCAGTACTTGATGTACACCAACAAACATATAAGTGATGATTAGGTTTGTGTATTTTACTCTTGTTTTACTGTTGTTGGAATGACACGCTTTTCAAAAGGTTACGGAGTTTAGTAGGAGCATGATGGAGAGGAAGTAAAATTGTAATGGAATTCCTATCAGTTATTCTAGTTTCTTCTTTAGGTGTTATTTTGGAGGCTTTAATATGTTTAGAGTAGAGCTATGACAGATTGTGTGAGAAAACAGCTGTTCAAACAAGAATGACAGTATACCAATATATGTATGTGAGTGGCTTATCTGTAGAGGAAGTCCATACCATGTAAATATTTTGAACATGGATGTTTGCTTCAGAGATAAATATATGCTGGAACTACTTCCAAAAAAAAAAACACGCCGTGTTAATTTTAATAAACCAAAATTAGGGGGCTTTATGAAAAAAGCTGGGACAATTTTGCAGAAATGATACCTGTAGTGCTAAGCACGTTGTAAGAGCTTGTAAAAACACTGCACTTAATGCTGCTCTGCTTTTTCTTTGGAGTTACTTAGTATTGGTAAACTCATGATCTTAAAACTGGAAGGATGTTTTTTACCACTCTTAAGAACCATCCTACTGTTGTCCCAGCCCATCCCCCTTCTTTAAAAACAAAGCAAAAACTAAGTGGAAAACAGCCCAACCCTACCATCTGCTATGACTCCTGTTCTGAACTGTTGGTGCTCTGTGTTGGCCACTGCACAGAAGATGCACGTCTGAAGTAGTGGAATCCTTGTGTTAGTGTGAGGATGGAAAGGATTATTCACGATGACCAGAACTTCTGGTTAGAGCTGTAAAGAATTAAAAATGTTGAAATAAAGGAATATATTAGAAATGGTCCAGACTTAGAATTCAAAGTTGTTGAAGGACATAGTTTGAGAGAAAGGCTTTGTTTCTTTCTTTCCAGAGAGGAGAGTGACTGATTTTCCCCTTTTTAAAACGTTTGTAGAAATCCTGTCTTCAGTATTCTAATAATTAGCAGTTATCGAGAAATCACTTTTTTATCAAAGCAGATCTTTTTCCTGAAGTGGCTAGCAGTGTGATAAGTGAACTGTTTGATTATCTGAAATACAGGATGCACATAGCATCAAGATGGCTTGCTGATTACTTGTGTATCTCTGAGGTCTCGTTTCAGACTGTTCAATAGCCTTGGTCAGATGGATGCGTTGCTTTTTTGCAGTTGTAACTTTGTAGAACTGAAAAGAAGGAAGGCAACGCTGTCCTTAAATAACACCATAGAATTATACCCCTCAAAATATCACTTTTTTCAGAAATGAGATTGTAGCAAAATGATAGTCCTCTTTTTTTCTTGCTCCCTCCAACAGCCGACCATATACCAACAAAGTTATTACATTATGGTATCGGCCTCCTGAACTTCTGCTTGGAGAAGAAAGATACACGCCAGCTATCGATGTCTGGAGCTGTGGGTAAGAGTTTGGTACAGAAGTGTAGCAAGCACAACAAGAAGCCAGCAGTGCATATTTCTGTCAGTCTGTACTGGAAGCCATAATGATGAAATTGTATGAAACTGTTTTACAGCTGCATCCTGGGTGAACTTTTTACAAAAAAGCCAATATTTCAAGCAAATCAAGAACTTGCTCAGCTGGAACTTATAAGGTAACTAGCAGGCACTACAGTGTGGTAGGTGCCTGGTAAACTGCCTATCTTTTTCACATTAAAAACAAAGGTAACACACTGCTGACAATTACAAGTACTTCATTATCATCCTGAGTGAGATATCAGTGGTTTTCAGGGGCATGTAGAATAAGTGTCTTATGTGTGGATGTGGGGAGGTGTTTCAGAATGCAGCTGGAGCTTTTCCTATTACTGAAGTTGTAAAAGAATGTAATTCCTTTTCAAGATGGCATCACAAATTCTTTACAGCAAATCAAAAGAAAACATGGTCAGTAAGGACAGCAGGTTTAGGAGCAGTGGGTGCTTTGTATGCTGCTTGCCTTAAGATCTTGCATTGAGTTTTCCCACATGTGCACCTGGGCTTTCATTTTTTTATATATTTCTCTTCCCTTACAAACTGCCAGATACTTTATGGAGGTGAATATTTTGTTTACTACATTATCTCAGTAAATTTTAGGATGGCCTGTATATAACTCCATGGAACCAGTGCATCTTGTTTTCCTCTTTATTTTGCAAGCAGAAATTGCTCTTGATTCTGATATCATAGGTGACCTCATAAGTGAGCAGACACCCTCTTCCTAAAAACAAGGGGGAAGGAGGGTGAGTCCTGTAGAACTTACAGCACCAGAAGAGGAAATAGTAAAATTATTTTTAAAATCAAAGTATTTTAAAATGTAAGTTATATACTGAAATGTTTTTCAAGATATATTAAATGTCAGTATGCTTCTGTGTAATATTTTTCTAGCTGATGAGGAGAAATAAAGTTTTTAGGAGGTGCAATACTACCAGTGATCATTCTTGGTAGAACGAAGTTCTAGATTTTGGAAGTCTTTGCTTTTGTCCACTAGATGGCAGTGAGAGGGCAGGCGTCAGAAATTTTACCTCCTGGTACAGCAAATCCAGATTTTGAGATTTCTTTCTGCTGGAAGAATGCTGGCAGCCAGCTGCTTGTAGCTATTTTTCCTCTCCATTTTATTCAGTACCATGCATTTGGAGACTGTTTAGGTGTAATATATCAGTTTTAGTTTATAATTTTATACACAATCTCTGTAACCGTCATGTTACAGTCAACAGTTGTACATTTTATTCTTTCTAGCTTTAATGCTCAAATATAGAACTGAAGTAAATTCTGTTAGGAAAAAAACAGAATTTATTTTCTTCCTGAAAGTAATGTACTCCAAACATAGGGATGTAATTAATTAATATTTAGGTCTCTTGCACAAGCAATTTAAATCAAATGAATGGAGAAGGGTGAAGTAGGGAAATACATTTCTTCAGCAAGTTCTTTTATTGACTGCCTTCATCAGAGGTCTTAAACATTGCAGGGTAAATTACCACTCCCATTGTCCTGCTGAGAAGCATGGTGTTAGGCTGTGCTGCCATCCTTGATGGGAAAAAACAGGCATGGATGGAGAGGGAGGACCGAGGCTAAGGACAATTCCATATATGGAAATAGATTAGGCCCAACACAGAAGACTAATAACTGTAATGAAAAAGTAAAGATAAAAATAAACAAGATTGAGCTGCTAAAAGCTTGTATTTACCCCTAGGACTTAAAGGGTCGGTTGTTTTGTGTTTTTTTTTTTCCTCCAAGAGCATCTTCTGTGTCAACTAAATTCTTGTTAAAGTTAATACTTCTTCAGGCCTTTGGTATTTCTTTCTTCGCTGCAATTAGGAGCTAACAGCCCAGCATCCTAGATCTGGGTTATCCACTTCTCCAGATCAAATACGTGAATGGTGTCCAGGCATAGTTAGTTGACTTTCAGAATGTAACCTTTTGTGCAGAAGATGCTTTAGAGTGGTTGGGGCACAGAAATAGTGGATTTCATGAAGTTTAGTTTGTGAAGGGTGGTTACCTTTCCTAGATAATTAACCATTCCTTAATGGTGTCGGGCCTTTCTGTAGAGAAATTTTAGCTAAATGAAACTGAATGTTAACATTAGATAATGAGTTTTGTATTTACTGTACTTCTAAGAATAAAATGACAGCTGTGCACACTTGTGCTTTTGGATCTCATGCCTTTCTTTCCTCCTCTTTTTGTACAGCCGAATCTGTGGGAGCCCTTGTCCAGCAGTGTGGCCTGATGTTATAAAATTAGCTTATTTCAACACAATGAAACCAAAGAAACAGTATCGTCGAAAACTGAGAGAAGAGTTTGCATTGTAAGGACAAAGGATGAGTTTACTCAGTTGTAACAGCATTACGTGTTGCTGGCATCTTTGTGAACTTAATGGATGTTCAGCCAGTTTCTAGAAAACACTCATGTGTAAAGAAACATGGCTTTTGAATCCTAGAAGATTCCTGCAGAGCTTGTATTAACCCTTATTTAATAAAGTTTCAAGAAGGGAGAAAGAAGGCCCTAAAATTTCAGCCACCTGTCAGCTTTCACCTAAGGACACATTTGTTTTCTGTGATTGGTACACCTGCTTGCTTTCCCTGTCCAAAAAACAGCTTGTAGTACTTAATTGTTTTTTATTAGGACAACTGCTTACAGCTAAATATGAAGTCTGGTTAACGTTACAGTCTTTTGGGTCATAAATTCATTCAACACGAGTTATCTGAACAGTCTATTCTAAAATACTGTGTACCATTGGATCTTTTTTTTTTTTTTTTTGCAAATATCACACATGAAAGCTATGGAAAGCAGCTGTAGATTCAATTTAAAGGGATTGTTCCCTTCCTTCGTCTGCTTCAGGGTTTAGGATCAGTATATCATCCTGCTTGAACTAACAAGGCTTTCCTAAAGCAGTAGAGTTGTTTTGCTTGGTCCATACAAAATTGCACCTCTCTGTGCACCAAATTCCATAGTGTCAAGTAACACTATAGTCTTGGCTTCAATTGTGTTGGGTTTTTGCTTTGTTTTTTTGTTTTTTTTTTTAAGAACAGTATTTCAAGCAAGTCAGCCACATACAGAAACACAACTGCCCACAGTCATCCCCACCTCTGCAAAAACAAACAAACAAACAGAAAAACCAAACCCATAAGACACTTAGGTTTCTATGTTTACAGAGATTGATAAAGATGAACTTTGTTATCTGCCTTTTAAAAGTAAATTCTTCATTTTAGATGTTCAGTTATTCTGGAGAGTTGTTCTTATGAAAACTTTGCACTGAAGTATGTGATTCAGAAAACAGGTGATGCTTTTTTCCACTGTGTTCTTTTGCAGCATCCCACCAGCTGCATTAGATTTGTTTGATTACATGCTTGCTCTGGATCCCAGCAAGCGCTGCACAGCTGAACAAGCTCTTCAGTGCGAGTTTCTGCGAGATGTGGAACCATCTAAAATGCCTCCCCCAGAGTAAGTCATTTCCATTAGTAATATTCTTTAACCTACAAAACAGCAGCAAACATGTACTGAGTTCATTAAGCTCGTTGTGTTTCCGTTGAAGAAGCTTGTTGTAGGAGAAAATTGTCAATATGTACAGTTGGTGATTCTGCACTGAAGTACAGTTTAGTGGCTCTTACGTCACGATATCAGTGGCTGTGAGGATCTGAGATGAGTTTGAACTGATGCTCCTGGAATTAGTGACTGTCATTTTTTAAAAAGGAATGTATCTGCTTATCAGTGTCCATGTTTTCCAAGGGTTTTGGGGCCCCTCATGAACCTGAATTACCTTCTTTGGTGGCTTTTTCAGGCGAAGAGGTATGAAATTGCTTCTGACAAGTCTTACAGTGACCCATGAAATGTATCAGTCAAATGCCAGTAATAGGAAAAGAATAGTTTACCCCATTCTGAAGGCCAGAGCTTGCTGCAAACTCCCAGAAGGAAGTAATATCTGAACAGAGGTGTTTCTTTCTCAGCTGCCAGCCCTTAAATGAGGTTAGGGAGGGGTGGACCCAGGATTTTGCTTCCACCTGTGCTCCCAGGGCTAGCTGTGCTTCTTCAACAGGTGCTCAATCACTGGTTCAGGCTGTGATCTTACAGTTCCCATACAATGACAGAATGACATTAGGCACAGAATTCTTTAAAGGTATCTGAGAGTTAAAGTAAAATACCATACGTGATTTACTGTGCCAAATGAGATGCCTGGTTCTCCAGAAGTGAAATATTTTGTGTGGCTTTTTATTTGTTCTTTTCTCTCCTCTGAACAGAGATATATTGCAATGTTCAGTAGTTCTTTTTTTTTTTACAGTGACTTGATTGTCACTTTAGGCATTGCAAACTTTTACTCAGGGCTCATTCCAATACAATGGAAAACATTTAAAGAGTCTGCAAGTTTAACTTTTCCCTTGAGATAGCTGCCTAATGACAGAACATTTAATAGTTTGACTAAATTGTACCTTCAAGGCAACCTTGCTGACTTGTTAATAATTAGTTACAAACTGAAAAAAAATAGTTCAGCTTTATCTAAGAATTTCATTAAAAATCTTTCAAGACTTACCTGTAACATATAGGAGGTAGTAAAGAATGCATAAGACTGAGTCTCTTTCCATCATCTGAACTTTACTAAACAGCAGTATTAAATATTAAGCTGTTCATTAAAATCTCAGAACCTTGTTGCTAATGCATTTTGAAGTTAGGGAATGAGAAGAAAATGTTCTCTTCTTTTCAGGGCCTTGGTAGTGCATCTATTCTAGAAACTGATGCAAGAAAATTAAAAGCAAACAAACAAATTGTCCTTTGGTATCCTTTTAAAAATGGACACCAACATTTGTTGTAGTGAAATGAAAATGATGACTCTTCTCAAGAAAGAATAAGGCTCCTCTCTTGGAAGAAACAGCTGCTCATTGCTGATTGCAAGTACTGTAGGATAATTCTTGTAGTTTCTTGATTGATCCAAGCTGTTGTTGACTAAATACCTGACAGGTCTTTTGACCTGCTGTTCTGTGGAGAAAGAGAATAGAAAGCAACTGTCAAAACTTCCTTTCCAGTGATTCTTATCATCTGTCACCTCATTTTTTTTCATGTTCCTGGGTGAGAGAACTGCTCAGACAGTTACTACTGATACGTAAAGGGAAAACAGAAGGACCTGTTTTAATGCCATATCTCAGCATTTCCATAAGCTATGGGGTGGGACTCTGTGTTCCTCAAGAGATCTGAATTGGGATACCTGTAGGGAGGAATAGTAATGGGAAGATTGAACTAATTTCCAATGGGTGCTGTAGAAGATATTTTTCCTCTGCTTTTGTCTGTCTTAAAGGGCTGGAGTACCCCTTGTTCTTCCTATCAACCTAAATTTGTTAGTGTTGAGTACTGTTTATTCCTGCAACATTTTTTTTCCCCTTTCTTGGTTGCCTGTGCTGTATGGCTGCTCATACTGGATAGCCATGTCTGCTACTGTGAACAAATGTAACTGCGCAGATGTGGTACTTCTACAAGCAAGAAAGTGACATTGATTCTCATAGTAAGGTGCACGTTCCTGTTCTCTGCCAGAGAGACCTGCACTTGTGAAGTAGGCAATTGAAAAAGAGACTTGATGCGGGAAAGCCTATCTGACTTTGGATGTTTCCTGATGCATTTCTAAATTCCAGCAGGCTCATCTTTACAAATGCTGTGCTATGCGTAATTTGAATATTTATTTTACCACTGTAGTTAAACATTTTTTAAAAATCTGGGATAAAACTGATATCTCTAATCATTCTTTGCAGCCTTCCTTTGTGGCAGGATTGCCATGAGCTGTGGAGTAAAAAACGCAGAAGACAGAAGCAAATGGGCATGACTGATGATGCAACAGCAGCTAAAGTCCCTAGGAAGGATCTGTCTCTAGGCATGGATGAGAGCAGAACCAACACCCCACAAGGCATGCAAACTTCTTCCCAACTCAAAACTCAGGGCAACTCTAGTGTAGCACTTGGTCAGTAATATTTTCGGTTCTTAAATTTACTTTCTACTTGGATTGCACCTCTAGAAATTTTAGGTGTTGTTTTCAGAGTACTGACTGGATTCTTGAGTCTCCTGGATTCTTGAAGGAGGGAACGGTATTGTAAGTTAAATCTTTGTGACAAAAGATTTGCCTTTATTTTTGGGAATTCCTTTTTATTCTTTCTTTTTTTAATCTAGCCAGAGCAACTATCTTGCTCTGTATTTTTGAGGAGGTTTTATCCCTTGTAGGAGATAAAAATCTTCTGTAATCCCACTAGTCAGTTTGTACTCTTAAGTTCATCACGGACTTCACAGGTTGAAGATACTGATGAACTGACAAAAGGCAGACTTTAAAACAGCCATCACTTCAAATAGGAGAGATTACCTCAGCGTGTCACTTTGGCCTTCGTGTTTCCAAGCTGTTTGGGCTAACCCAACTTTAAAAAAGAAACTAAACAAACAAACAAAAAAACCAACCACCCAAATATCTTATTAAAAAGTAGTAACTACCTCTGCAGCTTGCACAGCCGTTAATTCAGAAACTTAACTGAAATGTCTTGCTTGTGTGCTTACGTAGTGAAGAATAATGTGAGTAGTAAAGTAATGGTCTCCTTGTGTGGAAACCAGCTGAGATGATCAGCACTGAGTAGATACCTGGTAAGTTTAATTTAGGCCATTTTTAATTGTGCCAAGTGACCTTAAATCCTATGACACTTACACAGGTGTTGATCTGAAGAAAAACAATAAATGGATTCACTGAGCATGGTAGTTCTTGAATATTAGCCATCTTGAATCAACTCTTCATTTAACAGTGGAGCAGAGCTCCAAATGTAGTACACAAAGATAAATGTTAAACATGTACACATTGTTATTTTCATCATGTTTTTACTGCAGTTTATTGCTTCTTGTTCCTATTCATCCTGTTTCTTACTAAGAGCTGATAAGCTGGCTGTGAGCTTCTGCCACTCTACCACTCACTCTGGGCAGTGTTGGCAGTATTTCCAAAGATGCCTTTCTGCAGCCCTCGCAGTGTTTTCCCCACAAATGCAAACTGAGGCTTAAAGCCCAGAGGACAGTAGCAGTTTTCCTTGTGCTTCTGTAGCAGTTAGCCTGTTGGCCACCTGCTGTAATCAGTCATTAAAATGAAACATTAAAAAAAGAAAAAGAAAAAGAAAAAAAACTATTAAAAAGGAAAAAAAAAAAAAGAGAAGGAAATCTTTCAAAGCTGAGATACTGCTTACACATAATCAGGGAGAAAAATACATGTAGGTGTAAAAGAAGAAGACAAAAAGAGCTTAGACAGTTCAGCATATAGGTGTTTTCTGTATTAAGTGAAGCTCTTCTTGAAATCCTAATAAACCTTAGTTAAAATCACCCATAAGGCATGCTAAAGGATCAGGTGTATAAATGGAAAATGCATGCTTTAAGCAAAACTGTTGCTTTTTTTTGTGTCTGTGTGTGTGTGCCAAAAAGAGGTTAAAAATAGATAAATTGCTGATGTTCTGCTTCATGAATGAGAACCCTGGTTATTACATCTTATAATTTAACAGGAGCTGTGTACAGCTCATTCATTTTGTTCTGGTAGAAACTGATAGGTTTCCCAGAGTGCTGTCTGTGCTTGGAATAGACTTGAAACTAGTCAAAGAGTGTGTAACAGGTAGGTTAGTTACCCTTGGGGGCACTTTCTGCTGAATTTGCACCTTGACAAGCTGAGAGAAGCTTGAATGTAATTTGTTATCTTCCTGAGCATACCATCCTCAGATGCCACAAAATACTGTGAAGCCTGACAGCTGGCTGAGATCCAGCAGTGCAAGGCATTAAACGTTAATGGTTTTTATCTATTGCTAAATAGAAGATGGTTTTATTTTTGTATTTGGACGTATAAAATCTTCAAAGTCCTTAGAACCTGGCAGAGTAGAATCCAGGTGCTTGCATCCTGGTGTACATCCACAAGTAGGTTGTGACTTTTGCAGCACTTTCCAGCTGCGCTCTTGGTAGTCTTGCAAGGCAACTACTTAATTTTTGTGTGACTGTTTTTCTCAGGTGTGGCTTTGAATGTGCCAGGAATGAGTGTCTTAGTGTATTAGCAGGAAGGCAGAATGTGTGCACGTTGAGCTGGGTTACAGAAATTCAGAGAAAGACACATCCATTTTAATTTTCACCTTTCTTTTCTAAATCATCTAGTTATGGGGCATGCTGCTGCACTTCCCCTTTCAGAAGAACTGACACAGTGACTGCTTGAAATTTAGAGAATAGTTCTGTATTCTGACTTCCTTACTTACCTTCCCCTTCATCACCACCCTCTTACTTATGTCAAATAAACACCATTTTGTTTTTGTTTTTTTAAAAAAGGGGGTACCTTACAAACCTGAGTCTTCCTGCTACTCAGTGATTGACTTGTCCTTCAAGCTCAGCATTTGCTTCCTTGTGCTGATACTGCTAGCTTCTGGGTCATCTACAGCCTGGTCAATTGAGCAGGTGTTAGAATCCAGATGCTGAATTAGAACAGGCCAGAATGTGACTGCAAATGCGTTTTGCAGATGGCCACTTTTTAACAGAGGGATGTGATATGTCAAAGATAGGAAATTTTGTGGGGATTGGAAATCTTACAGCTGCCTAAAGCAGGTGGCCTTAAGCCCCAGCTTAGTTGTATTGTGGAAAATTGAGCTCCAGCTTGATGTATCTCATCTGTCCAAGTGCATGTGCGTGCCCCTTGGAAGTCACTTTCTTTATATTGGATCTTATATTCCATTTCCTATAGATACTCCCCCAAAGGCAGTTTCTCTGTAAAAGCATTCCGTTTCTGTGTTGTCCAAAACCACGCTTTGCCAGTTGTGACAGCCTTGTTAGATTAGTCTTAATTTTGAGTTTCTGAAATATGAAAATTCTGTATAATTCTTAAAAACACCTTTTTTGTCTTCAGCAAAAACAAGCACTGGACAGCAGTTAAACCAGAATGAAGTGGCAATCCTGCTAAACCTCCTACAGTCTAAAACAAGTGTTAGTTTGGCACAGTTTGCCCAAGTGTTGAATATTAAGGTAAACCCAGAGACTCAGCAGCAACTAAATAAAATAAATCTTCCTGCTGGAATTTTGTCAGCAGGTGAAAAACAGTCAGAACAGCAGCCGCCGCCGCCTCCACCGCCACCGCCGGAACAGGAGTCCCTAAAACAGCCGACCGTCACGCAGCCTCCTGTGCCACCTGCTCAGCTGAGTCAGCCCAAAGTGGAAACTGACGCTGCCCAGGCAGCTGTACAGAGTGCATTTGCTGTTCTGCTGTCTCAGTTAATAAAGGCTCAGCAAACAAAACAAAAAGATTTGGTGTTGGAGGAGAAGGAAAACGGATCAGGAAATGAAATGTCGTTACAACTCAGGCAGCCTCCAGAGCCCACCACGCCTGCATCTCTCAGCCGGGACGACATGGAATCTCCAGCGCCCGGTTACCCACATCTGATCAAGTCATTATATACTCCTGCAGGTACTGAAGGCTTTCATTGCTAAGCAACAGGTATCTTGAGCTGTGGAGGCAGCTAGTTTGGGGGTAAAGGGTTAACCTCTTAACATTACCAGTCTATGTGAGTACAGGAGAGGTTATTACGTCGATTTGGTCGCTTCCTTTGTTTGCATTGTGACTGTTCAAGTACTAGCTGCTGGGTTTGTGGCTTTTTTGTTGTAGGTTGGTTGGTTTGGGGATTTTTGGTGAGGCCTGGCTGGACTTTGTGTCTTACTGTAGTAGGTGCCATACCGACAGATTTAAAAAATGGTCCTTCTGACAGGTGTGCAGCACCTGCACTTTTTCTGATGAAACTGATTGCACTGATTGTTTTTTATGGCAGCTTGAGTTTTTCTCAGCGGTGCTGGTGTTGGAGAGGACTGGCTCATCTATTGAATTCAAAGCTCAAATTTACCACTTTTGACTGTGTGTTTAGTTAAAGCCTATTTTGAGGTGAAGGTTGTGGTTTTTGTTTGTTTGCTTGCTTGCTTTTTTTTTTTTTAATGCTGAGTAGAGCACTATTATCAATTTCTTAGTGCAGTTTCTGTAGCTGGTTGCCCATAACTTGTCAGTAACACACATGGCTGGATGTTTCCATTGGCTTATAGTGGCTACTTTCTTAGTTGTCTTAATGTTTAGAGCTCTGTGTTTGGTCATCTTGAACTGCTATTTCAGCTATAGTGGTTTATTGAGGTGTGCAGTGTGCAGCTGTTGAAAGAAACATTCTGAAGTGGCTTAGGAGCGGGTTTTGTGCAGCGGGGTGTTAAGGTTGTTTTTATTTTGCTTTTAACCTTTGCAGTTCTCTGAATCTTCTTTCCATGAAGACCTTTTCTGATATGTGCCATTTGCAGATGTTTCTGGTCACTCTTTGAACTTTCAGGTGTTTATCTGTTGCTTCAGGATTTTTTTTTGTTAAAGGAATGTGCACCACTTTTCTTAAACTTTGCTTGCTTGGTAATCTTACTATGAGGAGAACCTCGTATCACTTTCTTAAAGCAACCATGCTGTTGCCTACTCCAAAATGACCAGGAGTAAAACTTAACTGAGAAGTTAAAGAGAACTGAGGCAGTGAACCTCTCTGATGTTCTAGGAAAGAGCCCTTTCTGTTCCGGTATTGTTACTGCATATTTTCACTCCAAAGCTTTTATTTCTCATCTCATAGGTCAAGAGGACCTGGCTAGGCAGGCCGAGATGAGGCTCCTGAACCGAACGCCGGAACAGGAACGCCCTCGGATCCTGCCTCCAGACCAGCGTCCCCCGGAGCCCCCAGAGCCCCCTCCTCTCACTGACGAAGACCTTGATTATCGGACAGAGAACCAGCATTTGCCTATAACTAACTCTTCAGGAACAGATCCTCACGCAGGAGTGAAAGCGGCGCTTCTGCAGCTGCTCGCTCAGCATCAAGCTCAGGCAACGACAGAGGAGCCCGTACAGACGAGCGTGGATTACCAGGCTAGAGACTCCTATGTAGCAGGCCCAGACTACAAGGACAACTTTGCATCGTCTGCCTTCTCCTCTGCTCACTATGGCGGCAGCGATGGCATAGGAAGCGGGTCATCGGGAGCGCTGGAGCGAAGGAGCTTCCTCGGGAACGCGGATATTCAGCCTTTGGATAACTACAGTACTGCTTCATCTCACTCACAGGGAGGTGCCCCTGCCCCGTCTGCCTTTTCAGAGTCCTTTCCCAGCTCAGTAACTGGCTATGGAGACATTTACCTCAACGCTGGCCCCATGCTCTTCAGCGGAGATAAAGACCATAGGTTTGAATACAGCCACGGCCCAATCTCAGTCCTGGGGAACAGCAGGGACGCTTCTGTGGGGCCGGAGAGTACTCATGCCTTGCCTGCTAAGATGCACAACTATAGCTATGGAAGTAACTTACAGGAGAACCCCGGGGGCATCAGCCACGTGCACGGACAGACCTGGACATCCCCTGCACAAGGACCTGGCTACTCCCAAGGCTACAGGGGGCACATTAGCACGTCTGCGGTGAGAGGGCGAGGCAGAGGATTACCATTTTGAGTATCTGTTTTTCCTCAGGCACATCGTTTTTATCTGGAAAAACTTTGGTTTTTTTTGTTTTCTAGCTGCAGTTTAAAGCAGCAATTCAACAGACTTGAATAATATTAATTCAACAGCTTTATTTTTATGTGGAAAAGGGTCTTGCATACAGTAGGAAAAATTAAAAATGCTTAAAACTCATGCTGTCTGAAAAAGAGATGAATTGATTGTACATGTTCACAAACTAGTTCTGAATTTTTTTTTTTTTTTTTTTGTATTTTGGCAGTTTTAAGTGGATGCTAAATTTAGGGACATCAGCTTTTTATGGCACTCTTTCAGATCTTCTGAACTATGCACATTTGTGCTTTTTTTGTAAGTTTGGACCAACTTTTATGTAAAAAAAAAAAAAAAAGAATTTTACAACAATCAAAGCAGGGCACTGATTTATTTGGTATTTTTCTTTTTACAGAACTACCTTTAGTCAAAGGTCACTGTCAGTCATTGCACTGCTTTCAGTGTTATTGTGAAAGGCGTACTTTGTGCTCATTTCAGATAATAAAACACAACCTTTCTCTTGATGCAAAATTTTATAAATATTTGGTCGATGTTAATTTTTTCTTTCCAAAAAAAGAAAAGAAAAAAAAAGAATGGATGTTCTGGTAAAATGTTCTCTCCATCTCCCGGGCTTGTTTATATATAAACTGTTTTACTTGAATGGTAAGTGCCTTAACACGTAAGCTTAAGGTCTGCAAAAGTTGGAAGTACTCTATAAATCAATGCTACAGTAATACTGAAACCTAGATAGTTAATAAGAAAACCAGATAATAATAGGAAACTCAAATAGGTCATGACTTTGTGTTGTTTACTTCATGTGGACCAGTTATTTAGACATCTAATCCTATCTTGATCATCATCATTTCCAAATTGAACTTCGTAAGAAACTGCAAAAGTGAGAAGAGTGAAGAGAGCAGTTTTTCCTCAGCTCCTCTTTGGAGTTGTAGTAATTGATTTCCTTCCTCTGCCAAATAAACTATGCTTCTTATGTCCTTTCCAAGTGGTGAAAAAAATTCTCCTCTTACATGTCAACAGCAGTAATTACTGTGTGTGAAAAGCTGATGCTATCTCCTTATTATGACAGCTGCTGCATTATGGGAAGTAAACAAAGGACAAAGGACCAGTATTTAAAGCAGACATTTTACACTAGTTCTAATTCTGTAAACTCTTGATTGTGCCAACTAATCGTCCTTGTATCTGCTATCCACCCAGTATTCTAGAGTCGGAATCTCTCTGAACAACAGATAAAACAACTGTAGTTAAAACTCTTAATGAACCAAGAGCCACTCCTCAGTAACCATAACATGGAGCATGTTTTTTTTCCTGTGGTGACAAGCGGTCCCTCTCCTGCAGAGAGGAGGTATGGTTATATTTTGCATGTACGTAAAAGAATGTTTTTAAAGCCCATATTGGAAACAATTTCCCAACTGATTCTCCAGTTGACAAATCGGTACCTTATGTAACTGAGTGTTGAATTATTACTTTTTAAAAAGTAAAATTTCTACTTACACTATTTCAAATGTAGTCTTGTCAGTGACTTTTTGGACTTTCAGGATAGAAGCCAAAGTTGTCGATGTTTTGTTTTAATTTCAAAACCTCTTGTTCTTGTTGATGGCCAAGTGCCACGTTGCAGGGCATGGAGAAGGTCACTGTGCTGACTGTGTGGATTGAGGATCTGGCAGGTGGGAGATGGAGGTGTCCCTGTAAGTCTGGCAGCTGCCTTCGCCAGGCACAGAAGGGAGTCCTGCCCTCTGAAAGCAAAATCAGCCCAGGCAGTCAGGAACAAACGCTCGCGGCCGCGTGCTTTAGGAAAGTCACAGCTCGCCGGAGTGCGAGGCAGGTTGGGTTCCTTGAGTGAGGACCTCAGTAACATTTTTCTGCTGGTTGAATTTTAAAGGCTGAAATCATTATTCTCATTTAGGTACGGACAGCATCAGCTGAGGCTTATTTGTTTACTAATCGATAGAAAAAAAACAACCCCAAGAGGTTCAGACAGTTGTTTGTTGGTTTGTTTTTTGAGTTAAGCAAGACTTTTACAGCTCTTAGGCCATCGTTCTCACTAAAAACGTGCAGCCTCGTGTTATTCTACTGCACTTCCAATGTAAATTGGAAAGAAAAAAAAAAGCAGGCAAGTTCAAATGGAAGGTAGGTTTCAAGGAGGACTAAGTGGTTTGACTTTCAGTACTGCAAGTGAAGGCAGGCGGAGCAGCACCACTGCTGGCTGGCATTGCTCTGCTGCCGCACTGTTGTGCTGAGATGGATTTTGGTCTTCAGATGTAAAAGCGAAGCCAATGCAAGTAGCTGTGGCTGTGATGGATACAAAGGAGATGGAGTAGACAGCCGGCTTCCGTGTGGATCTAAACCAAAACTTGCACACTGTTGCAGATGCGTGTTTCCCAAATTCAGTGTAAGGATTAGCAGCCTGTGACCGAAGACTGTTAGCTTGGGACAGCGGTGCTGGTGTAGCACAGGGGGACAGTCAGCATGGGATGATGGCTGAGCAAGGAAGCTGCTGCCTTCTCTGCAGCCCGGGGATCTGCCTGGCTCCCCCTGGTCTGGGCCTTGTCTAGGAATTATCCAGGCCTGAGGGCTGCCCACCTTGGGTTGTGCTGGCCCCACGTGTGATTTATCAACGTTTCTTTTCTGTACCATATTAAGAGGTGCTCACATCAGTTGAGAATTTGACCCTTCTGAACAAACTTCACTTAGCAGAGCGAGTCAGTGCTAGTGCAACATTTGGCCTCGCGTGGCCGTTGCGTTTCTGCTGCAGTCGCAGGCATTCTGAAAGCCGTGTGATTTTCTGCGGAGCCATGGCTTTGGTTACTTCCCACCTTCCTTTGGGTTTACTTTTTCTGTGCTGCAATTCCAAAGTGTGCTACAGAGACCTGGACACCACATCAAAAAGTAAGTGTTGTGTGTTTGTGTTTCTAAAACATAGCAAAGTACTGTAACCATGGACCATGGAATAGCAAGCGTTGTTATTTATACTGAGCAGTCATTAGCCATACCAAGAGGAGAAACGTGAGCACGACCGGACTGCTGGATGTGACTTAAGGCACTTAGAGTATTAGAACACTTACAATCAGCCAAAGGAAAAGGAATTGACTTGTGTCGTGGATTGCTAGCTGTGACCTGAAACGGAGCGGTGTTTGGGAAGGGGTGTAAAAATACATGTCTTTAAATGTTAATATAATTCCCTGGGGGGGTGGGCGGAAATTAAATGGCAAATTTCTGTATTTTCTTATGTTTCCACAAAACGAGTCTGTGTTGAATTTTCTTCTTGCTGCGGCAGTGTGACAGCAGAGCTGCCGAGTGCTGCAGTGTTGAGCTCTGCGGGGTTTGGAGCTCTGCCCTTCTGCTGGTCCCTGCTGCAGGCAGGTTCTGGTGTGGCGCAGTTGCACTGGGATCTGTTTGGTCTCTGACAGTGGGAACACAGCTCTCGTCCGCGCACAGATTGGATCTCAGACCATGAATTCTGTTTCCAAGAGAGGAAATCTCATGTATTCCTTGCATTTCTCTTAGTTAATGAAACACACAAGCATTTTACATTTCTCCAGTCTGTTGTTACAGCGTTTGTACAGGAGGAAATTTGGCTGTTTCCCTTCTTGATGGTTGTGGGATGTTCTTCATACATGAGTGTTAAGAAGATAAAGGATCACAGGAAAGTGATATGAATTCTGTATTTAAAAAATGAAATGACCTTGGGTTAAAGTCGAACTAACTTTTGCTTATCAGGGTGAAGAATACTTTATTGCAGGAGTTATTTCAAGACAACGTAATTTAAAATAATCAAACTGTTATGCTTCAGCTTGCTTATCCTTCGTTATTTTAAGCCATTTGTATATAAATGTATCGTGTGGCTTGTAAATAAAATACATGAAAACTTGAAGTCTCTCATTGTTTTTCCTCTTTGGTTATCGAAGGGAATTTTAAGAGAGCTTTGGATTAATTACTTTCTCAAGATCCATGGGAACGTGATTTTTCAGTACGTGAAAATGTTGTTAGTTCTTCAAACAAATATTTCCTTCTCCACTGCCTTTTGGAGGAGAACTGCAGGTGCTCAGTGCTGGAGCTGGGCTCCTGGGCAGCGCATGGTTTGGCAATGGTGCTGCAGGCACGGCTGCATGCTGGGGTGCAATTCAAAGGGTGAGTGGGAGGCTGCTGCAGCTGCAACAATCTCCTACCTGAGTGTTTTTAGGGCATTCTCTGCTGGCCAAGCAGAAACACGGTTGCAGTTCTCCCCCTCTCCAGCTCCATAAAGAGGCTGGTGAGCATGCTGAAGAGTGGGATTCAGAAACAAAGGGTCAGGTATTTCCAGGATCTGGTGATGCAGTGTTGCTCCGGGGGCAGCAAGGCAAATAGAGCGTGGCCCCAGCGGTTGTGCTATGAGTGCCTTAGGCCTCGCTGCTTTGTTTTCGTGCTGTGTCAGTTAATATAGTGAAAAAGATGCCTTTTCCCACACATGCTGTGTTTTCATCCAAAGCCGAGTCACTTGCTGTACCTTCCGCATCGTTAGCCGCAGGCTGAGCAGGAGGCTGCTGCCTTTACACCAGCAGCTTGTTGATAAACACCCCGTGCAGAGGGTGAAGGGGAAGTCACAGGTCAGTGCTGGTCATGCTGACGTTGGGCTGACAGAATGTCTAGCAGCGGCCAAAAGGATCTTCCTTTCTGATAGTAAATATATTGGCAGCAGCTCTAACAAAAGCCTGGGCTGTTCTTCAGGCAGGCAGCTCGTTCCACGTTATGCAAGTGGTGACCTGCACACAGCAGATCAGATGGGTGCTGTGCAAAGGGCAACGGGAGTCATCCCAGCTGGATCTGTGTGAGTCAACGTTCTAAAAGCTGCAGCAAGTGAGAGAGGAGGGGCAGAAATGGCTGCAGTGCCACAGCCTGCATCAAGGACCGTATGTGCAAAGTCAGTGGCAAAGAACAGGAGAAAAAGTATTCCACCTTGCAGCCCGTGCTATTAAATGAGATGAATCAAGATTCGATGCTCCTATTTGTAAGGCATCCGGCAGAAGGGATTACATCCATGACATCCACCAGCTCCCCGTTGCATGGGGACGTCGGAGCTCCTGGCAGCCGCTGCAAACAAGCAGAGAAAGAATTTGGTCTGACAAACAAGAGCTGCTTCCTTTTCCCAGCTGACTGCAATTACCTCCACGTTGCTGAGGGCTCTCCTTTGAGCCCCCTGCATGTTGTGTCTGCTTAGTTCAGCCTCTTTTTTATTACCTGTGGAGGGAGCTTGCCATCAGTGTAATTCAACTTGGAAAGAAATTTGAGTTCTACTGCAATGTTTCACTTTCTTCAGGTGTAACAGCACTTGCTAATAGGCCATCCTCCAATCAGTTCTCACAGCTCAGTTTCAATTCTGCAGAAACAATTCCTCCGGGGGCACTTGGGAGGTGCTGCTGCTGTGGAGAATCCTCGTGATATGAATGGGTCTCTCACACGGCCTCTTTCAAAGAGGATGTGCAAAAACTTCTTCAACACCAGGAAATACGGTGTGGAAGAGACATAGAAGGGCTGCTGTTGCTTTTCTTTGTTTTTCTCCAGCTTTATTATCCTTTGTGGAGGTTTGGGGTGTCAGCTTCCCCATAAGAATTCCCTTGCTGTCCCCCACCATGCATGCTGGGCTTCCCAGCTCCCTGCACTTGCAGCCCTGCCAGGGTGGGCACAATGCAATGCATGGAAGCTCTCCCTCATCCTATCCCTCACAGCTGAATTTAATGGCTTGTGCTGAAGTTTGTAATGGTTGCTGGCTTTCTCCTCTCCATAGAGTGGTGGCAGGGAGATGCTCCTTACACTGACAAGTTTTGTTTCTAGAGATAGGAATAGCTTGTCCTCTGGGCTTCTCCTCTAAATTAAGAATAATAAGGCCTAAGCCAAAAAAAACCCCCTTCCTGTCAATAAATTACTATAAGTCAAGCCATCAGAATGGTCCAGCCCCGTGGCAAAGTTTCCTGCTGCATTGCATCTCTTCTCCAAAGTCTTTCTCTTCTGTTCTCCCAGGTAATCCAGTAGCTGTGTTGGTGCTCTAGAAATAATGACAGGCATATTTTTTCCCCCTTGTTCCTGTTTCAAATTGTTTCATGCAGCAGATTATGGAGAAGAAAGTGTATGAAGGGATCTTAGAGCTGCATGGCAAACTCTTGCCTTGGAGCTGTATTCCTTCTGGGAGGAAGGAGTGGAGCCAGGAGGAGGAGGTGCTGTGCAGGGCAACGTCTGCCAGAGCAAAGCAGGGAACGTGCTTAATGCTGGAACCTCAGAGCATCTTGCAGTGAAATGCAAGGGAAGAGCATTCATCCACACGTTCAAGGCCAAAAGTTCCCTGAAAATACCAAGACCATCTTCTCTATTCTTTTTTTTTTTACAGCGACCCACTTTAGTCTCTACAAGACGAAACACATCCAACAAGAATCTCTCTCGTATACCTTTTTTCTCCCCTGCTTGCCAGCCAGTCTGAGCCTTGACTTACTGTAGAAATGCTCCTCCTAGGGAGCAGAGGCAAATCTGGTATTTCTGGGTGAGAAAATCACTAAATGAGAAACTGGTACAAACTGAGCGCGGCGGTTCCCCCACCCGTAGGGGCTCCTGTCAGAGGTGGAGGGCTGCCTCTCAGCAGCACAGCATGACCCTTCCCACGTGTCCTTGGGCTGGTGGCAGCTACAGGAGTTACTTGTTTGGGAATCTGGGCTACGGGACTTGTCTGAGGTCACACAAAGCGTCCACAGCCAATAAAGAGTGGATTTGGGTTGTCCCGTGGTTCTACCTGGGTTACAACACTTTGCACAAGGATGAGCAGAGGGATGTTCCAGTTTGTGAAACTCCAACGCCTTTCTCTGCACTTAGGTGAGATAACACGGAGGTCCTCTTCCTTGGGGAGGCAGAGGAAGCTCTGAATTTTTGGAGGAGGTTCTTGTCCGGTAACATTACTATTCCCATGCAATAATAATAGATAATAATGTAAAAAACAAATATTGTTGTGTAACAACTGAAAATCCAGTATTGCTGACGTCGCCATATATCATCTTCTATTTTTCCTGCTGGAGAAAAAGATAATTTTCTCGTCTCCCCCAGTGTTTGCTGTTCCTTGGTTGCCCCTGTGCCGATGGAGGTGGGCTGCTTGCAGGGCCAGCGCTGCAGGGAGGTGGGGCTGCCGCCTCTGCTGCCCTGCACCGCTGCTCAGCCTGTTCATACCTTGTGAAGTCTCCATAAAGCAAGCTGTTACAGCGAGCTGCAGTGTGCTGTGGGACTGTGCACACCTCCCTGCCATCCGTCGTGCTACTGAAGAACAGCAGTTGTAAAAACGTGTTTATTTACTGGTGACAATTGTTCATCATTGGGGGAAAAGTCAGGCTAAGGAGTACAGCAGACATGGGAAGTGAACAGAAAGCTATTAATGATGGATAGGAGAAGGGGGTGGCAAATACTAATTAAAAACTTATCCGCAGATGGTTTGGTGGCTCCGCACCAGGAAGGTATCACTGTAAGCCTGGCAGGCTTTGTTAGGAGCTGTGAATGCTTTTCTTCACACATTGCTTCTTGTTACAGCCTGCAGATCCTGCTCTGACTTCCCCACGAGCACATACAGTTACACAGCACAGTGAAAGAAGCAGTGCACGGAGCAGTAGGAATTTTTATTTGCACACATACTTGCAATTACAACCTTGCCTTTTGGGCACAATGGCAAAAGAAATCCCACTGAATTTTGCAGACCTGCTCTGTCATAAACACAACTCTGTTTCAGCTTATGCTGTAAGACAAACCAGAGGTGGCTTTCTCTTTCAGCTGATCTCATGGCAGACTCTTCATTCTTTTCCTTCTTTTGTTGTAGATCACAAACATCGCCCCCTTGCAGCCTCTCAACTTTCACACAATTCATTTCAATATGGATTCTTGTATAATATGGAATTTATAGGAAAAGAATTCTAAAGTCATACGGTGTCACAGTGTGCAGTCAGTAGGCTGTAAGTAAATCAAGTATTCTTTTCGATTATTTTTTTTCTTAAAGCAACATTTATTTAAAAACATTTGCTGTTCTTTCTGAAACAATGTGAATGAAAAAGAAATGTTTGAGAAAATGTCAGCATTTCAAAGAAGGCTTAATTTTCACCAAAAGATTTTGGTGAAACTGGCATGACTGCGTGGAATGCGTGTTTCTTTTGGGTTTGTCTTGGAAGAGGAGCAACCAGCACCCAAGCGTTGGTGGTTTAGGTGTGATCATCTGTTATTTCTACAGAATTGAAAAGAAAAATGCAGTATGAGAGGGACTGGTTACACTGACAAGCTAAAACATTTTCAGACATCCTTACGACAGCAGAAGAGGCTGCAGGTGATGGTGAAGGTCAGCTGAGTGTGCAGAACAACACGGAGTTGAGGTCGTCACCAACACTGACCCAACCCGAGGGAGGCTGTTTCCAGGTGTATTTTGAGTGAGAACAAAACCCAGAACTGCTGCTGCTCTTTGCAAAGGGGATAAATGAGCAACCTGTACCAGTGTAACGAGGCAAACCCAGCACGGAGGATGTAGAAGCGTGCGCTTTGCTGTTCAGCAACCATTTAATGGGAGAATTATGCTCGAGTTCCAGTGGAGCCACTGCTTGCATGACACTGCTGGAGGATTCCAGAGGGCAGGAGAGAAACCATCAACAGCAGCTATTCCTCTGGACACCAGCAGCATCTTATTTACAAGCAGTTAGACCCAGGAAACTGGATTTTTGTGAAGAGCAAGGTTCAAACCACGCTGGAAAAGCTGACAGTTGCTGCTGCTCTGCACAGCAGTTGTAAAACCATTTGTAAGTGGGAAAGAAAAAGTTGCAGGTTGACATTAACTGTTCTCAAATCAGTCAGAAAAAGAAAACCAAGGTTGTGTTATGTACCCAGTGT